TGACCTTGATCACATGGCTGAGGTCGCTTTTGTCGGTTTGTCCATTGTAGGGTTAACCCCTCCCCTGTTTCTATCCTGTCCCCTTTGGGAGGAAGTGCTTGTGCCCAGTCCACCTGAGGACTGGGTAATTAGGCTCCACCTCCTTGACTCGGGATCATCTATGTAAATTATGGGGTTTTTTTTTTTAAGATTTGCCTCTTCTACATTTTTATTTAGTCAATCATAGGTATACATGTTTTAATAACCTTTCAAATTTCTTCATGACACGTAGCTTGACAGGGAAAGATGGATCCAAATTTCATTACATAGTACATTCCAGAAACTGAAAAACTGTTTATACCTTGGTGTGTTTGGGATTCGTTCCAAAGGCTTTTAGGCTGCTCTGTCGTTGAGAATTGCTAATCACAAAAACTGAGTGGTCATGCCGAATGAGCTCATCCAAGTAGCCCAAGGTCCATTTCTTGGTCTTTGACATCACTATGTTTCCAACCTTTACTTCAAATCCACTCTTTTAACACAAAATGTACCCCAAGAGGGGCTGGAGAACCAAGCCACACCCTAAGGGAGTTTGGAAAGTTCTAGATATTTCAAACTTGCTCTTGAGAGGAAGGCCTGCAGTGGAGTCCATGTGTGCTGGGGGCCAGAACTGTGACTGGGAGTTCTCCCCCCCAAAACCCCCAGTTTTAAAGGGTATATAATACAAATGTGCAAAATTGAAGCTTAAATAAATATTATTAAAACACAACAGGAACTGTACTAACTTGTAAGCCAAATCTGGCTGGCTGCCTGTTTGGGGATAGCCAGTGAGTGAGGAATGATTTTCACGTTTTAAATGGGGGAAAAAAATCAACAGAAGAATATTTCAGGATGTGTGAAAATTACATGAAATTGACATTTCAGCGGCCTTCCTGAAAGTCCTACCCACAGCCTTGTTCAATGGTATATTGTCTGTGGCTGTTTTTGTGCAAGGACAGCAGAATCCCGTGGTTGTGACAGAGGCTGAATGGCTTGAAAAATGTAAAGTATTTACTATCTGGCCTTTCACAGAGTAAGCCGGCCAGCCCCTCATTTAGTGCTTAGACCAGTAAAAGCCTTTTTCGTGGAGGACAATTGTATCCATGATGTGGCTTAGCCTTGCCGGCTCGTGGTGAGGGAGAGCGGGAGGACCCTGTGGACAGGGCAGCCACCATGGATGTCACTAAGGGCTTTCCCGCCAGCCAGGGCCCAGCCAAGACGGGGTGGTGGCACTGTCCCAGGTGCAGGCAATGGGCACAGGGGGAGTCCCTGGCTTTAGAGATCGGAACACTATCAAACCAACTACGTCGGTCTCCTCCTTATTCCCCTGAGCCGCCATGTGTGCATAAATACAGGGGGACCCAATCCTTCTACCACCTTGACTGCAGGTGGCAGAAAGCTAACTTGAATGAGCTGAAGAGCTGGGACCATTCACTGGTCGTTGGTCTGCAGGACATGGGGTTGGCTGGGCTTTGGGACACTTGGCTTTCCTGGCTCTGCCTCTCCTGGCACACAGGCCTTGGGGCTCAGACCAGTTTTGCTGCAAGAAGCCGTGTCTTGCAAGCTGACATCAGCCAGGTGCAGCCCTGAGGCAGGGCCCCTGGAAGGAAGGAACTCCCATGTCCAGATTGAGTTGGAGAATGGCCAGGAAGCATCTGAGTGGTAGGGAGGATGGAGACAAAGGTGGGCAGAAAGAGCTTGGAAAGGGGCGCCTGGGTGGCTCAGTCGGTTCAGCGTCTGCTTTCGGCTCAGGTCATGATCCCAGGGTCCTGGGATCGAGCAGGGAACCTGCTTCTCCCTCTGCCTGCTGCTCCCCCTGTTTGTGCTCTCTGTGTCTGTGAAATGAATAAATAAAATCTTAAAAAAAAAAAAAAGTTTGGAAAGGCAATAGATCTTTGACACAAGAAAGGAAAATGTTCAGACGGCCTTTGAGTTTTTAAGCCTAGACCTCCCTGTGTATTTCTTTCCCTCCCACCTGTTTCCCCACATAGTGTCTCAACGTGCTTGTTTTTTCCCCTTGATCAGTTCCAAACCACTCTTTTACAGACCCTCCCCCAGCCAGCCCCTCCCTTCAATGTAATCCTCATCTCCCACCTCCCATGGCTTCAGCAGGTGCAGGTGATGATGATGATGATGATGAAGCACAAGATGTTGAGAGCCTGTCTCTGTTCCATGTGCATCTATGAACTCGAGAGACAAGTACTGCCCTTGCTCTTTCAGACTTAAATTCCACCAGCCTAAGAACCCCAGGATTAACCCCAGAGTCTGGCTAAGCAGGTTTCTTTACCCACTGCACCAGGAACCCTGGGGCAGCTCACCTGACAAATGTAAAGAGCGAGCTTTCATCGGATTTTGTGGAAAGTGGAGTTTGGGTGAAGGCTGAAAGAAGCAGTGTTTCCACGGGCTTGGGGCAACGCAGGGCCATGTGGGACCAGCATTAGGTCAGGCCTGCAAAATGGACTGGCTCCCGTTCTCTTGGGAACCGCAAAGCTGTTCTGGAGCTCTGCACCTGGGTTGCAAATCCAGGCTCTTCTCTGGCAAAGTTTTTAAATTCTCCAGGCGGGAGCAGGAAGTTTCATTCTTAAGGATGGAATGTCAAAAAGCCAAGTTGTTGCTGATCTATGATTTTGGAGTTCCAAGTTCTTTTTCAGTAAAACATTCATCACTTGGGGTGCTTGGGGGGCTCAGTCTGTTAGGCATCTGCCTTACAGTCGGGTCATGATCCCGGGGTCCTGGGATCTGCCCCGCGTCCCGCTCCCCGCTCATCAGAAAGCCTGCTTCTTCCTCTCCCTCTGCCTGCCGCTTCTCCTGCTTGTGCTCTCTATCAGGTAAATAGATAAAACCTTTAAAAAAAACATTTATTACTCAAGGGATCATTATGCTACTTTACAGGTGCGGCCATGTGTCCTTGAGAAATAACCTTCCTTGTGAACTTTAGGAACAGTTAAAACCCATCAGCTGGCTTCGCCTGTGTCTGTCACTGGGGCCTGATGAATAGCCCAGCTGATCTTGGGCTACTAGCTCTCAGTCTAGGGGCAGGACAGACAGGTATTTGGGCGTTAAGTGCTCCATTGGCTCCAGTAGGGAGCAGGGGGGATGGGCTGGAGGAGGCAAAGAGGCCAGGAAGGAGGCCGTTACTGCAGTCTGGCCTGGAGAGGGGCCTCCTGGGGACTTGGAGAGAAAAGGGGTGGATGCAGGAGCTATCTTGGAAGTAAAACAACCTGGAGGAAGAGGGAGGAGGCATGGGAGGTGCTGACATGCCCTAAGGAAGGAAGTAAAGAGGAGCGGTTTTGGAGGGAAGAGGCTGAGTTTCAGCTGGGCTGAATTTCAGGTGCAACCTTGTGGAGATGCCTGATAAGCAAACATATGGGGTCAAAGTGCAGGCTTGGGGGTCAGCACAGCAGACAGGTGGAGCGGAAGTCACGAGGAAGGCTGTTATCTCAGGGAGGGATGCGCAGCCTGGGGAGAGCAGCGGGAGGACCTCCAGCAAAGCAGAAGCCAGCAGAGCCTGGGTGAAAACTACCTGGGAGAGAGGAAGAGAGAAGCCAGCGACTAGCGACCCGGATGCCCAGAAAGGAGGGCTTTAATGAGGAGGAGGATGCCCACTGTGAAAGTGCCTGCTGGATTTAAGGACAAGCTGCTGGGGCCGGGTTACAGGAGTTTGAGGACTGAAGGGGATGGGGGGCAGGGAGAGTCTGTTTATCAAGGCTGGAACAGACGTGGGCACGTTTTTTTCTTCTTTTAGAGAGAGGGCTGGGGGACAGCAGAGGGAGAGAGAGAGAGGAGCAGACTCCCCACTGAGCGCGGAGCCTGACATGGGGCTTGACCCACGACCCTGAGATCACAAGCTGAGCTGAAACTCAGAGTGGGACGCTTAACCACTGAGCCACCCAGGCGCCCCGTGGGCACGTTTAAATGCTGCTGGGAAGGAGGAGAATGCAGGCAGAGGACCTGGTTACCCGGAGGAGGTAAGGGGGGGCGGGGGGGGGGGGAGAAGGGGCACAAGCTCCAGCTCAGGAGGCTGCACTCTGCCCAGGTGGGGGGGGCCCCTGGCCAAAACCAGAGGTGGCAGGGCGAGGGGTGTCACAGGAGAGCTGCCTGGGTCCGGATCCGCAGGAGCGTCCCCCAGCGGGTTACCCGCCTCTTCCCTCACTGTCTTCACTGGGCCCACGGCCCAGCGGCTCCTCTCGACCCCAGCCCGGACTCCCCCTCCCTCCCCAGGTGCTTCTCTCTTCCCCAGCCCGCTTCCAGCTCCTCCCCAGCCGCCCCCGCGGGAACCGCACCCCGCCCAGGCGCTCCTTCCGGCCTGCGGGCCCCGCCCCGGCCCCGCCTCCGTCCGCGCCGGCCCACGCCCCATGAGGTGCATGGCCATTGGCTGAGTTCCTTCTAGGGCTCGGCCCCCTCAGCTTCCACGTCTGCTATTGGGGCGGGTAGCTGCCCGTCAGCGCCCTCGCCTGGCAACGGGGGCGGGCTGCTTGAAGGGAAAATCCATGCGGGCGACCCGACTGGCCAGTTCCGGTGGGTGCTGGGGCGGTGGGCTGCGGTGAGCTGAGCGGGGGCGCTGGCCCAGTGGCCCAGAGGGAGCCGCCGATCCCGGGGAGGCGGGGGGGAATCGGGGGCGATGGCACCAGACCCGGGAGGGAACGGTGCCTGGAGTGGGCTTGGGCCCTGCCCCTCTGGCTGCCTGCTCCTCTGGGCCCCCAGGGTGGGAGAGGTGGGGGGCCCTCGGGGGACAGCTGCGAGGGAGCGAGGGTCTCCCCGTGTGGGCAGTCGGAGCACAAGATCACCCCGCATCTTCTGCCTTTCGCGTGGTCAAGATCAGAGGGTCCCCAGGGTTGCTGCCCGTTTTGGGGAGGGGCAGTGAGAGAGGCACATAGACGTGGGAAAAACTGGGGGCATCTGTGGGAGGAGCCCTCAGGGGGTTTATACTGGACTGTGGGTGGGGTTGGGGGGTGTTGTACTGACCACGTCTTACTTGTTTTGTCCCAAGAGAGTGGAGCTGGTGGCTAAACCTAGAACAGAGGGGAGAAAAACAAAACCACTCCCAGGCTAACACCCCTGCAGATGAGTCAGCGGGGCTCCCTGGAGGAAGGGAAGCCAGCCTGGGCAGAGCAGGACAGGTCCAGCACCTTCCGGCCCCCAGGGAGTCTGCCCCCGCCCCAGCTGACCCTTGGCAGAAGGGCTCCTGATGCTGGGATGTAAACAGGGCTTGAAGTCTGGATGTCCAGATGTGGTGGTTGAACTCTCAGCAGAAAGGGGGCACTGAGGGCCAGGTGACTGCTGTCAGGATAGTGGCCCCTTGGATGTTGGCAGGCCAGAGGGGAGAGCACCCCGAGGACAGGAGCCAGTTGGGGAGGCTGTGAGGACTGACGGAGCTATCCTAGGACGCCAGCCGGAACTGCAGCTCCGTTCTGCAGGAAAACTGTTGGCACTCCCCCAGCGCTGAGGGGGTTCCTTGTTTCCAAGCTGGGCTGCTTCCCTTGTTCCTGCGCAGGGATTCAAACTTGCCTTGCTTGGGCCCCTCTGTCTCCATCTCTGGACCCCAGAAAGCAGAATTAAATGCCCTGTGTTAACCTGATTTAATCGCTTCTACCTCATTACGGGCCTGGTGGTACTTTCCTCATTATACTAAAGTTGGAAAAGGCTTAGTAACTTGCGCGTAGTCCTCAAACCAACTAGTGTCAGAACTTGACCTCAGAGCTGCCTGTCTTTGCTTCCACCCTAAGGGCAGAGCCCAGGGTCTCTGTGCCGAGAGGCAAGCATTAAGGATCATTTGTGCACTTCAGTGCCCGCCCTTGAGCTCTGCCCCACTGCTCTGCATCTTGGAAAACCAGTTTGTCACCTTCAGCCCTACTAACATTTGGGGCCAGGTAACTTGTTGTGAGGGGGCTGTCCTGTACGGTGTAGGATAGTTAGCACCCCTGCTTTCTACCCACTGGACTCCAGGCATCACAACCAAGCCTCACTGCCGGATGTGCCCTGGGGAACAGAACGACCCCCAGTGGAGAACCCCTGATGCAAGGAGTCTTAAAGCAACATGGAGGTGCTTCCTCCTGAAAGAGAACTTGATATACGTAAACTTCCTGAAGGCTTAGGCCAGCGTAGGGTTGTTTTGTGCACAACTTGCCAGGAAAATGGGCTGTCCTCCGTAGGGAGGCACACCTGGGATGGTCCCAGGAGAAAGCTGTTGTCAGGGACGGGAAGAAAGTTCAGGGAGTTGTATTTGGGGAGGTGTAGGGGTGCATCGAGGGTCTTCATTTCTTCCCTAGAATTGATTGGAGAGACTTCGGGCAGGATCACCGTGACCGAGGCTGGGATGGACGAAGTGGGGGGTGGGGACACCTGCTGCAGTTGCTGTTCCTTCATCCTGCCCCTGCCCCTGTCCCTGTCCTGGGAGCTGTTGGCCATTGCGTCCCCTCCCGCCAGGAACAGTGGTGCGGGGCCCGGGGCCCTTCTCAAGCTGCTGTCCTCCCCGCCCTCCTGACTCTGGGCCTGTAGCTCCTGCCTGAGGCTTCTCTCCCCCTTCCCCTCCTGGATTGCTAGCATGCCTGTTCCTGGGCCTTTCCTGATGTCTCCTCCTGGTGCTGCCCTGTGCCCACCCCACTCTGATGGTCTGCACCTCCCCTGTCCGTGTGGGCGGCTCGCCCGTCCCTGCTCCTTCCCCGCAGCCATCGGGCCCCCAGGAGGGCTGGCCAGGCTGCTCTGTTTTCAGCCAACACTGGAGGAACCTGTTCTGGCAGGTCGGCGGAGGAGGTTGGGATGGGCAGGGGCGGACCAGGGGATCTTGCTCTGGAGCCTCTGGTTCCCCTCCCCACACCAGGCCTCAGTGATCGTGGTTTGCACCCCGGCCCCTTTGCGCACAGGGTCCCCACTGCCCAGGTGAGCCACCTGTGGGCACCTGAAGACCCAGCCGGAATGTGTCCTTCGGGACATTTTCGACTCTTGACTCCTGTGTTCTCACTTGGATCCCCACTGCCCCGGCTGCGCTTGTCTGTCTGCTTGTCTGTCTCTCCCCCGTGAACGGAATGTTCCTGCTCCTGCAGGCCGGTGCCCGCCTGAGGCTCTTCTGCTCTGTGACGGGGCCTGGCCCCGGGGGGACACGGAGTCCCTGATGGAGTAGATGCAGGATGGCCCGCGTGCTGGAGGAGGCGCGACCTGTGGCCCCTTAGGGGCACAGCCCCCACCTGCACTGTTCCCTCCTCTGGGACATGGAAACGTCTGACGAGTAGTCTTTTAGCTCCAGGTGTCCCCCTTAAAGAGACTGGCATCCCGCTGGTAGAGCGATTCCTTGACTTTGAGAGGGCGGAAGCTTTTTCAGGATTTGGGGAATTGGGAGGCAAGGCAGTCAGATGGGATCAGTGGTAAAGCGAGCCGGAGGCGGCTTGGCTGGACCTCCGTCCTCGCCGCTGGCTCTCCCTGGTGGCTTCTGCGCTAGCACATGGAATCGCACAGGTGGAGTCCCCGCTGTGGTTCGGGCCTGGTGGGGGTGTGGGATGCAGGGATGGGGGCGTGGGATGCAGGGATGGGGGCATCCTGGAGCCCATCCCTGGGTAGGGGACACGTCGTGGTGGTTGAGCGAGTGGCCCTAATCCAAGGGGCCCTTGAGTGCGGTAGGGGTTGGGAGCCAGTCCCGGTGGGGGGAGCACTTGGGCTCTTTCAGCACCCAGGCCAGGCCGGCCTGGAATTTGCATATGGGAGCCCAGCAGGCAGGTGGAGAAGGGGCTGGTGCACCTGACCAGCTGGCCCGGGACGCCATGGCGCTGTGCCTGCGTGCCCCAGGTGGCTCAGGTGCTAGGCAGGTGGTTGGAGGACAGAGTCTCTTGGGACTTTCAGGTTTGAGCAGGCAAGTCAGGCATGAACCTGGAGAGGTGTGTGGGGAGAGCGAGCAGAGTCAGGGATGGGGGGGCCTGTGCCCCATTTCAGTTAAGGCGACTGTCCGTTCTAGGAAGGTCAGGAACACCAAGCAGGCTTGGAACCCAGAGGCTATGTAGGGTGGTGGTGTGCAGAGGTGGACAGTGAGGGCCCTCTGAGCCAGATAGGGGACTAGATTTTGATGTCCCGAGTGGACCACATGCCTCCGTTAGAGTCCAGCTCTGACGTGATGCTGTGCTGACCTCTCAAATCCTTCCCCTCCCAGGTGCTGGCAAGACCTTCCTCCCTTCCAGCATTTCGGTAAGTCTCGGGCCTTCTCCGGTCACAAACCTTAAGGTTTTCTGGAAGTGAAAAAGGTGATCTTTGGCTAGAAGCCCCCATCTGAGAGTGAAATAGAATCACTAGGGTTGCATTTTTATACATTTACCATTTTCAGGACTTCAGCAGAATAACAAGATGAGGGGCCCAGGGAGGGTTGTGTGAAAACGATCAGGTGTTTTCTTGGCGGTCGGTTGGGCCGTGCCCCTGGAGGGGACCAGGCACCAGCTGACGCAGTCCCCACTGTGTCAGAGACCAGGAGAGCCTCGTGCAGGCTGGCCCTTGAGCCCAGGGCTGGAGGTTTTCCTTCTTGGCTGTCATGCTGCTGAGAAGCTTGAGGAGTGGAAGCATCTAGATCAGGTGGCTCGTGAGTGATAGCCCAAGCTGGCCTGTGTGAGCTCTCCTCTCCAGCTGCCTTTGCACGTGGGCCGAGGTCCGTGTCCGAGTCCCGGCCGGTGGCGTCCTCTGCAGGGCAGATGGGTCCCCTGCCAGGATGGAGATAGTAGCATCACGCAGGATGTGGAGAGATTGGAGCCCTTGTGCTTTGCTGCTGGGAATGGAAAATGGAACACCGTGGGGTGGCTCCTCGCAAATGAAACATTGGATTACCGTACGACCCAGTGCCTCTCGGTTCCCAGGTCTGTACCCCACAGTCTGAAAACAGGGACTCGAACAAGTCTGTGTGCTCTGTGTTCATAGCAGCACTATTCACAATACCCGGTAGGTAGAGACGGCCCAGCTGTCCAACAATGGATGAATGGGTAAACCCACCGTGGCTGGGCCATGGATGGGCCTCGAAAACCATATGCTGATGGGAAGAGACCAGACCCACAAGGCCACAGATCGTGTCGTTCCATGTACGGGACTGTCTGGAACAGGGACACCCACAGACACTGCACATGGGTGGCCCCAGGGGCTGGGGGATGGGGCGGGGAGTGACTGCCATGGACACGAGGTGTCCTTTGGGGGCAACAAAAATATTTCGGCTGGGTAGAGGTGGTGGTTGCACCACACTGTGAATGCACTAAATCCTGCTGAATGGTTGATTTTAAAGTGGTTAGTTTCACGTTAAGTGAATCTCCCCTTAGTAAGAAGGAAGAAAACTCGGGACTGTACCCCGTTTCCTCTTGGGGGATTGATCAGCCAAATCTTGGGGGGCCTGGGCTGGCCTGCCCTCCCCTTCTCGGCTCCCTGCCTTGACATGGCGGGAGGCTGTTCACTCCTGGGCTGGGGGAGAAGGTGTTTTTTCTCTCCAGCAGTTTCACCGACGCCAGCTTCCAGGGGAAGTCTAAGGACGGAAGGAATAAGCCACCGCACTTGGCCTCTTAAGAGATTTTTTTTTTTTTCTCTCTGCTTTTCTGTTTGACTCCCAGATATGATGGCACTCGACCCCTTTCTGTAATGGGGTCTGTGACAATGAACAAGGCCCCTGGGCCTTGGGGTGCCCGTGTCTGTGTCCCTTGAAGGTCACGGGCACCTTCTTAGCCCTTTGCTTGGACTAACACAGTGGTCACCACGACCTCTGTCAGAGAGCGTGCTGGTTGCCATTTCACGCAGGAGGATCTGGAGGCACGGAAGCTTCTGGAGCCCGCCCCAGCCCTCGTAGCTGCTAGGGGGCGGAGCCAGGATCACAGGGCAGAGCTGGCCCAGTCCCACGCTCGCTTCCTAGGTGGTATTTTCAAGATGTCGATTTTACTCAAATACGTGTGATCAGCCAGCCTTACAGACTTTTTTCAAGTTAGGTTTTGAAAACAAGAGTATTTCGATGAACATACTGATTTTTCTACCTTTTAGGTACATTAGTGTAGGAATTGTGTTTCCAAATAAAGAAATCCAGACTGCTTGGCAAGCACGCGTGTGCCTACAGAGACCCCGGGGCTCGGGGGCCGGTTTTCCCGCCAGATTTGCATTCACCCCCTGATGTAGCTCTGATGAGTTTGCAGCTAACTCAATATTGAGTAATTGACTATGTATCCTAACCAACATTTACTCTCTCTGAGCTCTCTAACTTGATCTCTACCTTGGTGTCTTCTGCAGAGAATTGTGCCGGATACGAGGAGAGATGGGGAACAGCAGAAGCCAGTCGGGGCAGAAGTTTTGCTCACAGTTTCTTCCTGAGGAGCAGGTGGAGATCGATAGACTCTTTGATGCTCTGTCGTCGGAAACGCACAGCTCCAGGACCTCGCCCCGATCCTTCTCTCTGAAGGCGCTAAAGGCAAGAGCCACGCGTGGCTTTCAGTGGGTGGTCTCACGCAGGTGCTGCGCGCTGTGGCCCTCGGGCCGGAAGCAGCTCTCCGTGGTGGTCCGACGCATGTTCGGCAGCACTGCCAAGTGCATTCTCTGGAAAAAGCAGGTGGTCTGGGGCGCCTGCGTGGCTCAGTTGGTTGGGCGGCTGCCTTCGGCTCGGGTCATGATCCTGGAGTCCCGGGATCGAGTCCCGCATCGGGCTCCCTGCTCGGCGGGGAGCCTGCTTCTCCCTCTGACCCTCCCCACTCTCATGTGCTCTCTGTCATTCTCACTCTCTCAAATGAATAAATAAATCTTTAAAAAAAAAAAAAAAAGGCAGGTGGTCTGCATCTTCCATGTTGCAGGCTGCGGGCTCTGTCTCAGCTGCTCTGCTCCGTCTCTGTAGTGCTGTGTTTTGGGGGACACTTCTACCTTGAGATCGACCAAAGGGGCCAGCCCTGCGTCCCATCTCTTAAACCTTTGTCTCCTGATTTCCCTCCGAGACCGGGTGACCGGCTGCCTTAGCGGGGTTTGTGGGTCCAGTAACCACAGCTTCAAGTGTACTTTGCCTTCAGATGTATTTGTGAGTGTTTGAAGTCTTAGGATTTTTCTGGTACTCCTAACAAAATAATGAAGTTTCACATTCAAGTTTTACCTGCCAAGGGGTTAAAATTGCCCGTTTCCTCATCTTTTCACCCTGTTCCATGGGGCTTTTTTTTTTTTTTTTTTAAAGATTTTATTTATTTATCTGAGACAGCACAAGCAGGGAGGAGGGTCAGAGGCAGAGAGAGAAGCAGACTCTCCGCCGAGCAGGGAGCCTGATGCGGGGCTTGATCCCAGGACCTGACCGAAGGCAGACGCTTAACTGACTGAGCCACCTAGGTGCCCCTCCATGGGGTTTTTTTTAACAGCATGTTTGAGTGCCCAGACAGCAAGACCGTGGCAAAGAGATCCCACCAGCCCATCTTCCTGGGTGATGGGGAAGGATTGCATCAGGGGAAGGCAATCTAGTAGTCTCCTCTTTAGTACGTGCAGAGTGGGAGCTGGTGGGGGCCTTGGGGATCCCCCAACATGCTCACTTCAAAGATGAGGGAGGTTATCGGGGTCACGGCTACGTGGGTGTGTGCATGCATGCGTGCACATGGGGGGTGTATATGGATCCCCACTAGACCCAGGCACCCACGAAGCCGAAGCAGGAGGACCAGCCAGACCGATGAAAGGCCTGAGTGCAGGGTGGGGAACAGTGTTCTGGTGTGTGTATCACAGCACGGAGGGCGAAAAGTTGGTCAGAAAACCCTGGTGACGGAAGGAAGTTTCTTCGGGGGAAGCAGCAGAGATTACTTTTTCAGGAGAACCTGGAAAACACTGACAGAGAGCCCCTGAATATCCGTGTTGTCCCAGACTCCAGACACAGGGAGCCGTTGGAAAGAACCCGGTTCTCAGAACCTGCTCGGAGGAAGCTCATGATTCAGTTTGTGATTTGCTGTTTCTATCCATCTTTTTATAAGCCCTGGAGCAAATCGCATTGCATGTTGGGAGTGAAAAAGGAAAACAGTATTTACATTATGTTATTGGCAAGACGTTAATTAAGGAGGAGATTTAAGGGGCACCTGGGTGGCTCAGTCGTCAAGCGTCTGCCTTCGGCTCAGGTCATGATCCCAGGGTCCTGGGATCGAGCCCCGCATCGGGCTCCCTGCTCCGCGGGAGGCCTGCTTCTCCCTCTCCCACTCCCCCTGCTTGTGTTCTCTCTCTCGCTGTGTCTCTGTCAAATAAATAGAATCTTTTTTTTTTAATATTTTATTTATTTGACAGAGAGACATAGCAAGAGCAGGAACACAAGCAGGGGGAGTGGCAGAGGGAGAAGCAGGCTTCCTGCCGAGCAGGGAGCCCGATGCGGGGCTCGATCCCAGGACCCTGGGATCATGACCTGAGCCGAAGGCAGACGCTTGACGACTGAGCCACCCAGGTGCCCCAATAAAATCTTAAAAAAAAAAAAAAATTTAAAATCCGGGCACCTGGGGTGGCTCAGTTGGTTGAGCGTCTGACTCTTGATTTTGGCTCAGGTCATGATCTCAGGGTCATGAGATCAAGCCCCGCATCAGGCCCCACAATCAGCGTAGAGTTTGCTTGAGATTCTCCCTCTGTCCCTTCCCCCATGCTCGCTTGCTCGCGCTCTATCTGTAAAATAAATATATCTAAAAAAAACCCAGAATTAGATTTAAAATTTAAATAAAACTTAAGTAAAAATGCATATTAAACACAAGAATTTGGATAGGAAGAGCTGGCTCGTCTCATAGGGGAGAACAGATAAGCTATGCACACACATACGTTCCACGTGTTAATAAATTCAGACCCACACATGGCAGCTGTTAGTGTAGAATGAAGAGGTGTTGAGCAGAGTGAAGAGCAGACAGTGACCAGAGGCAGGAATGACGTGGCCAATCTGGTGTGGTGGGGGACTGGAAAGTTTGGAGGGCAGGATGGGAACAGATTGTGGAAGAGTCTGATGGCCATGATGATCCACAAGCCAGGACACATCAGGCGTGTGCGTTTTGGGGTGATGTGATTCTCTTGGGTGGGGGAGAGAGGATACCTACGGGGTTTAGGAAGGTTGAGTGCTGGTGGAAGCATCTGGGAGTGGCAGTGGTTGGTCTTGGTCCCTGGTCCTTTTCCTGCGACCCTACCACGCGTAGCTCAACCCCATCCAGGCTTTTCTGCTGCTTGTTCCCAACAGAGCCACGTTGGAGAAGCTCTTCCCCCAGAGATGGTCACCAGACTCTATGACGGCATGCGGAGGGTTGACCTGACAGGGAAGGCCACGAAGCCCAGCGACAGCGTCTCCCAGGAACAGTTCACCGTGTCCATGTACCACTTGCTGAAGGGAAACTCCGAGGAGAAGAGTCTTGTGATCCTGAAAATGATTTCTGCCACAGAATGTCCTGTGAAAGCAAGAGAAGTCCAGAAGGTAGAGAGGCCACGAGGCCGTTTGCAGCCATGCCAAGCAGCCTCGGGGGTCCTAAGGTGGGGACTTAGCTCGATCGCGCAGCTGGTGGAGGCACATGGAGATGTCCCCCTCAGGGACCCTAGACCACATCACTGGTGACGTCAGGACTCCTGGACACAGGCCTTGGTGAAATAGAGCTTGAACACCTACCTAAGTAATGTAATCTCTTCCCATGTTGTGACCCATTGTAGTCGGCATTGAAAAGATAAAGCGTCCTTCCCTGTATTGATACGATGTAGGTTGTGGGTCATGGTGGAAATGTGACGAATGGTAAAACTGTGGTCTTTCAGTTTACAGAGGATCTGGTTGGCTCTGTGGTTCACGTGCTCACCTACAGACAGGAGCTGAGAGGCTGGACCCAGAAGAGAGGCCCGGGGCCCCCCTCCAGGGTGCAGGTGCTGGCCACCCAGCTCTTCTCCGAGATGGACCTTCGAGGCAAGTGCCCTGCGTGCTCACCCACTGAGCCCTTGACACATAGACTGGTACCACGCGGTCTGGGTGACTGTCGTTTTGTAGCGAAGTTTTGAAATCCGTACACGTGAGTCCTCCCAGTTTGCTCTGATTATCGTATTGGTTGGCCATGAAACATGCCTCGTGATAAATTTATTATTATTTTTTTATTTTTGTTTTATTTATTTATTCATGAGAGTGAGAGAGAGAGAGAGAGAGAGAGTCAGTGGCAGAGGGAGAAGCAGGCTCCCAAGAAGCAGGGAGCCCGATGCGGGACTCGATCCCAGGACCCTGGGATCGTGACCTGAGCCGAAGGCAGCCGCTTAACCATCTGAGCCACCCAGGCGCCCCGCCTCGTGATAAATTTAAAAGGACTGAAATCATACAAAGTATGATTCTTCAACGACAGTGGAAAGAAATTACAAATCAGTAAGGAGGCATTTGGGAAATTCACAAATATGCAGAAATTAATTGTTTCTAGTATTTTTTTAATACTTATTCTACAAGATCATTAGTGATGTCCCCAGTTACGTTTTTTTTTTTTTTTAAGCTTTTATTTATTTGAGAGAGACAGAGAGTACCAGTAGGGGGAGGGGCAGAGGCAGAGGGAGAAGCAGACGCCCCAGTGAGCTTTTCCCAGGACCCTGAGATCATGACCCGAGCCAAAGGCAGATGCCAATGGATTGAGCTGCCCAGGCACCCCCTGCCCACTTTCATTTCTGATTTTAGTCATTTGAGGCTTTTTATTTTCTTGATCTGTCTAGCTGAAGGTCTGTCAGATTTTGGTGGATGTTTTCAGAGAGCCAGCTTTTGATATAGTTGGGTTTCTGTCTCTTCATTCCTCTCTACTCTAGTCTTTATTTATTTATTTATTTATTTATTTATTTATTTATTTATTTGCGAGAGAGAGAATGAGAGAGAGCAGGAGAGGGAGAAGCAGACTCCCCGCCGAGCAGGGAGCCCGATGCGGGACTCGATCCCGAGACTTCAGGATCATGACCTGAGCCGAAGGCAGTCGCTTAACCAACTGAGCCACCCAGGCGCCCTCTACTCTAGTCTTTTCTTTCTGGTTGCTTCACATTTAGTCTGGTCTACTTTCTCTAGTTTTCTAAGGTTGAAGGTTAGGTTATTGATTTGAGATCTCTCTTCTTTTTCAATATAGGCATTTACAGCTATACATTTATCTCTAAGCACTGCTTTAGCTGCATCCCATAAGCTTTGGTGTGTTGTGTGTATGTGTGTTCAGCCCTCTCAGTATCTTCTAACTTGTGATTCCTCTTTTGGTCTGTTGGTTACTTAGATGTGTGTTACTTGACTTCTACATGTTTGTGAATTTCCCAAATCGCCTCCTGTTGTTGATTTATAATTTCTTTCCATTGTGGTTGAAGAACATACTTTGTATGATTTTAGTCCTTTAAAATTTACTGAGGCATGCTTCATGCACCAATGTACGATCTATTCCGGAGAATAGTTCCATGTGCCCTTGAGAATAATGTGTATTCTACTATCATTGGATGAGAAACCATATACATTTGAATTTACTTGGGATTTAAAAATACCTGTGGTGAATCTCTTTGCAAAGTAGATTTGTTTTTATAAAAGCATTATTTTATTATAAAGCTGGATTTTAAAATGCAGTTTGGAAAATAGGTCCTATTTCAAAAATCAAGTGGTGAATTTGGAACTTGGACAGGAGAATAACGTAATACATGTAAAATACCAGTACTCGGCCTTCCGGTATCACCACCATATCACCTCCATTCTCGGTGGGTAAGAGAGAAAACAAGACTGTGGGGTCAAGCATAATTCCTTGTTAATGATACCCGTTCTTCCCAGATAACTGGCGGTGGGCGTGTCCCGTAAGTTACAGCCCCCACCCTGACTTGCCTGGAGGGTGTCATGCTTCTAGGGCCTTCCGAAATGGCTGTGTTGGGTGGAAGCCCCTCGAAGAGTGTTTTTTGGCGTGGCTCTCTCGGGAACATCTGCAGAGGGCTTCAGGGCTGGGCGCAGGGGTGAGCCTTGGCTGTGTCCTGGGCACCTCATGTGCAGCTTGCAGAGGAGAGAAAAGATGGGTATGGACATCGAATTGTTCAGATCAGTGCAGGCGCCAATCAAGCCACGTGTGAAATGTTAAATACTCCAGTAGCCACATGAAAAGAGCAAAAAGGAACAGGGGAATTATTTCTAAGATGTCCAAAGTACACTTGAACATCGGTAATCAATGTAAAAAGGGAGGGAGATCTTACACTTGCTTTTTCACACCGGCTTTTTGGAATCGGGTGTTTTATACTTCCTGCACGGCTCAGTCCAGACCAGCCACATGTCAGGCCCTCAGAAGCCACACGTGGCTCCCACTTTGGGCTGCACAGGTGCCGGGAATGGATGTCAGGTAACGTGGCCACACGGCTTGGGTCTGTCCCTCCCCTAGGTGGCGAGAAGCTTCCAGGGCCTCAGCAGCTGGACTGTGAGTGTGACCGAGCCACCATCGAGGACTGGGTGTTCAGGACCCCCCACGTGGCCACGTTTCTGAGCGTGGTCATCCACAGAGGCTTCCTCCTCCTGCGCTCCTCCCTCGACCTGGCCACCCTGGTCCCCGAGCGTCACGTTGACCCGGAGAGGGTGTTCGAGAGCATCCTGGACGTCCTGTCGGTCATCTACGTCAACTCCCACCTGCGCAGGGAGCAGCAGGGCCGTTGGCGCCTGCTCTTCTCGTCCGAGCTCCACGGGCACAGCTTCTCGCAGCTCTGCGGCCGCATCACCCACCGGGGCCCCTGTGTACTGCTGGTGGAGGATCGCGACGGCCAGGTGTTCGGCGGGTTTGCCTCCTGCTCCTGGGAGGTCAGGCCTCAGTTTCAAGGTGAGCCTGGGTCCCCTGCCCCACACGCGGTCACACGGTGCTCCTGGAGAGTTCCGTCTCGTGGCTCCTGCCTGGGGACCCCTGAGCCGACCGAGGGCGTGCGTGTCCAGAGCCTTTCGTCCGGCTCCTCCGACTGCTTCTCAGGACATGGTCGGTAGGACAGTAGGAGGAGATGCTGCTCTGTGTGGTCTAGCGCTTCCTGAGTTTCTTTTGTGATTCTGGCAACGGAGGAAGGGACACAGGACAGGTATGCCAACTCTGGGTCTCAGGCGAGGAGGCGGGGGCTTGGCGTTATTAAATCACATGGGGTCCAGGCCACGGGGGCGGCTGGGCTGTGGTGCCTCTGCTGGTCCAGTCCGATGGATGGATCTTCTCGCAGGCCGCCCCCCATCCCTGGACAGCCCCATTCTCCGCTGGTGCATCTGCTCTGCAGGGTCTGCCTTTCCCTTCTGCCCTGGTCACCCGGTCTTGTGTTTTTTTGTTGCAATTGGATCACTCATTGTGTGGCTTTCAATGCACTGGATGAAAGTCTCAGAAGTAAATTCTTGCCCTTCATTAAAGAAATGTGCTCTAATCAACATTTTTCTTTTTAAAGATTTTATTTATTTATTTGACAGAGCGAGAGAGCACAAGCAGGGGGGCATTAGAGGGAGAGGGAGAAGCAGGCTTCCCGCGGAGCAGGGAGCCCGATGCGGGGCTCCATCCCAGGACCCTGGGATCGTGACCTGAGCTGACGGCAGGTGCTTAATCATCTGAGCCACCCAGGCACCCCTGATCAACATTTTTCAAGGGTCCTTTATCTCCTGGGCAGTGGGCTGTTCTCGGACTCAGAGCTGCACCTGCCTTCACCGGTCTGACGTCCCCGTAGGTGCCTCGGCGTGTGGCCCTGGCTGCCCGAGCCCGTGTCTTCAGTGAGTCTTCCCAGCGGTGAAATGGGGGGGCCTTTCCCAGAGGCTCTGAGACCCGATGCAGCCCCGCCCTCACACCCAGGAGCTAGATGGTTAATATCCTTCCTGTCCGGGTCCCTAGATGCGACAGACCAATGCCACATGGTCCTCCGGGACAGGGACCGCGAGTCTGAATGGGAGGGTCCTCTCGCATCCCCCCACCTTCTCTCATGCTGATCCCTCTACGTTGCTGTGGGGACCTCCTAATCAGGCCCTTGGTTTCCATCTTGTCCTCCAGTCCATTTGCCACATCCCAGCACGTCTGACCCTTGAATGCTGCCTGCAGGAGGCGCATCTCCTGTGCGCAGCCTCACGACCCACGCCTGTGTCCCGGGGCTCCGTGCTCGGTCTCCTCAGACTACCTGCAGGCTGGGCTCCCTCTCATTCCCAGACTTGGCGCATGCTGCGCTTTCTCTCCTCCCGACCCGTTTGCATGACCAGCTCCTTGTGGGGACTCAGCCCAAGGTCCCCTCCTCCAGGAAGCCTTCCCAGACCTGGGAGGGCCATGTGTGCCCCGTGTGTCCTCTGTCATACTGCACACCTCTGCACACCTTCTCTCTATGAGGTGGGGTTCTGCCTGCCGGGAGGCCGCGTCCAGGTGCAGAGTTGACATTACGAGGGAGATCATAGTAGCCACGGGGTGGGGGATGGGAATCATGAGCAGAATCCCTGAGATCCTGTTGTTTCTAGGGTTTAGTTTTCTCCAAGGTTTCAGAATATGTCAGATCTTTAATCCAGGAGCTGCTACTAGCTTTTCCCCCACTGTGTCCGGGATCCCCAAGTCCACCCACATGTTGGGGACTCCCTAGGAGGACCTGCAGGACTCAGGGTACAGTCACCCTCGTGGCCACGATTAATTATAGCAAGAGGATGTGGATAAGATCGGCAGAGGGAGAGGCACCAGCTTCCAGAGCCCTCTCCCAGGGGTTCACACGGGACGCACTCGATTCCCCAGCAGGGTTGTCTACCAGCGATGCCCGTTAGGGGCTCAGCACCTGGGTTTTCCTGGGTGCTGGCTACAAGAGCACCCAAACCCCAGAGTCCGGGAGGAAAGCAGGTGTTCTGCATCAACCACACTGTTTGCACAGGGAGCCCCACTTGCCATTTCTGGGAGTGGGGGACCCTCCCCGAATCCACGGTCCCAGACGCCAGCCCAGGGGCCTTTCTGGGGGCCGCAGTCTCAACCCTGCTGCGTTTGCTCACTTCTGCACCCCCACCTTCCTTGTCACAGTGTCTGGGGGGATGAATGGGGGAATGAGCTGCTGTCTTCAGGGTTGGAGGCTGTGCTTTAGGGTACAGAGAATCCCAACAGGTGACCTCCTGCTTCTCCCAGCTCCTCTGGTATTAACTCCACGTTGGCTCCGCTGGTCTTAGTGTTAGATTAAGAAGCAGGATTAGGCTCCCCGAAGAACAGTGGAAAAACAGTGGCAGGTTTTCAAACTTGAGTCCATGCTGTCCTGAGACATGAGCGGAATTCCAGCAGAGGGCAGCCTCGCATCACAGACGCGGTCCTGTTCAGCGCCTTCCAGTCTGTTTGTCCTGGAAGCCGTCCTAACCTTGCAGACGTGAGGTGATGTAGCACCAGGGAGTCCCTTGAGGTTTACCGTTTGTGCGGTGGAAAGACCCACGGCTTTGGGCTGAGCAGCAAGGGGCTCGCTTTCTCTGGGCCCCTGGTCCTTCAGAATTGTGCGAAATGGTGCTGTGTGGGATCGTTGATGTGAGCTTGTCCCCACTCTGGTCACTTCCAGGGGATGACACATGCTTCCTGTTCTCCATCTCCCCTCGCATGGCCGTGTACACCTCCACGGGTTACAACGACCACTACATGTACCTGAATCACGGGCAGCAGACCATCCCAAACGGACTGGTAAGGACTTAAGGAGAGCAGGGGCTGTCCCACCTGTGTGATGTCCTTCCTGCCACGGGGTCCGTCCCGACGTGCCCAGGCTGACACTTCCCTGCAAGTCAGGACAGAATTCTCTCCTGCAAGGTCGGGCTCGGTTGAGGCGTGTCCATGGTTTGTGTGCAAACGGTGGATTTGCCAGTTTTCCTGGGGTCACCTGGTTGGGCTGTGGCCTTTGTGGCTGGAGATGAGCTGGGAGAGGGGCACGCCAGATCTGGGCTCCCTGGACCCATCCGGAGTTGTCCCCGCGTGACTCCTAAAACCGGGGCTCTCGTCAGGGTGAGTGCACCTGTTGTCTGCTCCGTCTGCAGCCTGGAGACTCAGCTATGGGGGCAAGAGGACGAGGATGCAGGCGAAGGGGGGTGGGGGCCAGGGCCAAGGGGAGGAGCTGGGTTGGGTGTCCCCACATGTGCACCCCCCACCCCGCACCTGTGAGCCTGCTTACTCTGGGTGAAACATGGGTCTCCTGCCAGCACCCCAGCCGATTCCTTTGCTGCTTAACACAGAGCACCTTTTGGGAAATTCCAGCTCTGTGCTTGCAGAGCTGAGGAGCCCAAGAAGGCTGGTCCAGCTTGTCAGGTTGGAGAGGGCCCCAGTGCTCCTTCCCGGGCTCACCGTAAGGCTCCCGTGGGGCCCCCTGAGGACCCCGGACACCTCCCAGAAAGGACAGTTGGGTGGCCTCAGGAGCAGCACCCGGTAGGTCCTCAGGAATCGCCAGTAATCAGCCCAAGAGAGAAGCTGCCCTGAGAGTCGGCATTTTCTGCTCTGGCCTCTCGCTCAACCTCAGTCCCCGGGCCGCCAGGGGCCCGAGAAGGCAGTGGTAGGGGGGCGTCGGGGAAGGTCATCCGGAGGCTGAACGGTGGTTTTGTCTTGCTGGCCACAGGTTAGTGTGACGGCGGAGCGATGGATGGTGGAGAGATTGGGTGTGAGTCACCCCCAGGTCTGCGTCCTGTTGGTTGTCCCTGCGGTTGGCCCCACGCAGGAAGTGACTGCTGGCTGAGTAGCACCCTGTCTGGGGGCCCAGTCGCAGGTTTTCCAGTGTCAGGATCGGTGCCGACCTCTCCCCTCTTGGTTGAATGCTTTGGGTCTCTGGGCCCTGGCCTGAATCCTTTTTTTTGGTCTTCTGCCGTCACCTACGCTCCCAGCCAGTGTAGCCCTGGGAGAAGGAGCCGCGGGGTGGGCGTCTGGACACCTCGGTTATTTTAGTAGCTTGGGATGGGATGTTTAAATTGCAGCCCTCTGTATGTTTCCAGTTTTAAAAAAAGGGAAGAAAACTGTATCCACCTCTTACCGGCCCCCCTGTCAGCCTGGTTCTTGAGGCTGATTCAGGCTCGGAGGGTCTGGCAGCTCTGACTGAGGAGGCCCTGCTCTTGCCCCCGCAGGGCATGGGAGGACAGCACAATTACTTCGGGCTGTGGATCGATGTGGATTTCGGGAAAGGACACAGCAAGGCCAAGCCCAAGTGCACCACATACAACAGCCCTCAGCTGTCGGCCCGGGAGAACTTTGGCTTTGAGAAGATGGAGGTGTGGGCAGTGGGAGACGCCTCAGGGTCGCAGCAGGTGAGCGGCGGGGGGCACTGCTCCACTCTCCAGGCTACCCTTTTGCTGCTCCGTCTGGAGGTAGTTTATCCTAAACTTGGTCCCAGCAGCTGCTGCTGGACAGAGAGATGCTGGTGGGTGCACAGCAGGGCTGGGAGTCCTGTCGGGGTCCGTGGGGTTTCGTAGAGTGGACCCTCCTGGAGGCAGGGCCCTGCGCAAGGTGGGAAGCTGCTGGGTATGTGGCCTGTCTACCAGATGAGGAAGGTCCAGGCTTCCTTCTTGTCCCGTGGTTCTGCAATGAGCCATTCTTGGGCCCTCTGCACCCCAAGAGCTCCCAACGATGGCATCCCGGGGTCGGGGGTACTTCCGTGAGAGTGCTGGAGCCCCCACAGTGTTTTCCTTGTGGCAAAAGTAGGGGTCCTACTGTCATGAGCTTGGGACCGGCAGGACGTCCCTGCTTGTTCTTGGCTGTGAGGGAGGCGCTCATGTCCCTTCCCTTCTTCCCAAGGCCAAGAGCAGCAAAAGCATCCTGGATGTGGACCCCGAGGCCCAGGCCCTGCTGGAAATCAGTGGGCGGAGTCGCCACAGCGAAGGGCTCCGGGACGTCCCGGAGGATGAATGAGGAGGTGCCCCCGAGGTCGGGCCTTCCTAGAGCTGGATGCTGGCCCCCTGGACAGAGCGCAGCCTGCGGAGCCCTCCCCATCTCACTGTGTTCAACACAGGGCTGCACTGCGCATGTCCAGGTGGTCCAGGGCATGCTGAATCAGAACACAGTAAAATTCCTTTGATGTTATGTATGGATTGGTGGGTGCATCTCGCAGAAATCCCGAGTGTCCGTTAGCAACTTAATCCTTATATGCTCTTTATTTCTTGTCAATGGAATCCGAAGACACGGGCAGGACCTCTACCCGAGTTAGTGCCTGATGGGCACGTGCATTCCTGCCGTGCAGGGTGGGGCTCTGCCTGCTGGGGGTCACCTGGCCCCTGCTCAAGCCATTGCAGTTAAAAACATGCCTCGATGTTGCATTCCAGCTGATAAAGGGCAGAGGCATTGCGATGTCTCAGTGCCTTTTGGGAGAAGCTTCCTACGACCTGAAATTTCTGTATTTATAAAAAAGCATAAACAGTGAGAGAGCAGGTGTCCCCGTGGGGGTAGGGTCCTCCATAGGTGTTTGTAATAAGGTTCCTCCCCCACCTTTCTCAGCTGCTTTTAAATGAGTCTGTGCCACGGTCTACGGAGGTTCCAGGTGGTTCTCTTACTAACCTGAATGTGGGGAATTCGGAAGCTCTGAGACACCCCGTGGCATGAATTAGTGGTGCGTAACTTGACCGTACTGTCCTGGGTTCCTGACCCTGGCACCACCTCCTCAGTGTCTCCCTCCGGCCCAGTAGCCCCCAAAGGGGTGACGGGTCATTTGACAGCAGGGACTCACTTGAAATGGACTCGAGTGACCCCGGCATGCTGACTGATGACCTGGGTGGGTGTCTGAGGCCGGGCAGGAGAATCTAAGCCTAGATTCTAAGTGAGAATCTAAGTCCCTCCTTCACGGACGGAGCCGTGGGCTCGGCTTGGAGACCTACACCTCCTTCTTGGGTCTTTTGCTGTAAACTTGGACCTTCTGCACATCTGACGAGAATGGGACCTTTTACTATAGAACATACCTGCTTATAAGCCATAGTGAGCCGAGCCGTTTGCATTTTGCAGGTGCTGCATTTTCTCCCAGGAGGCTCCCCCAACTTGGCACTTAGCAGTGCCCCTGACTGAGCAGAAGGCCTTGCAAATGCGCTTTTAAAAAGAAAAGTGCGTGCCCAGACAGTATGCAGAGGGGCAGCAGACTGATGCGCACAGACGTAGTCATGATGGATTTTCCTCCTAAAAAGCCAGTTTTTAATAAGCTGCTTGGGGAACATCGTGTGATCTCCCCAACCGATGGGATAGCAGATAGGGGAGGTGAGGCTCCTCAGATCCTTACCATAAATCCAGAGCGTTAGGTCGGTCCTGCACCTTCCATCTGTTCTGGAATTTCTTTAAAACAACTGAATACCTCACTAATGTCAGGCCTGTTGGTATTTGTACCTTAAGTCCCATTGCGCTTCCTCTGCTCAGGGCTGTCAGAGAGGCTTGGATTTTGTTTGTGGGCGCACTCGGCCTTGTGCCTCTTCTCATCAGAGGGCAGGTGACAGGCGGGGACCCGTTTCCCAGGACGGCACGCTCAGACAGGGAAAGGCGGGTGCCCAGCCCAGGCGCTTGGCCACCTGGGGGGTGCAGCCCTGCCAGTGGGCTTCTCTCGCTGTGAGGTTCTCCACACACAAACCTGTCGAGGGTGTGGCCACGGCGAAGGCCACCATACCTGGCCACCCTCCCTCCGCCCAGGCCTGGGAAACACGCGGTGCTGGTTTTAACAGTGAAGAGGTGGTGGTTCTTTGCAACAGAAATAAGAATTCAGGGCTAGTGGTTTTTCTGTGAATGAAGACCAGTCAGGGCCCCGGAAGGTGCCGGAAGGAAGAGGTGAAGGGATGGGGTCCATGATGCAAACAGGGCTACCGTTACTCCCCCCACCCCCCCATGCTGTCTTTATTAAAACAATGGCCATAGGTGGACATGGTAAAAAAGGTTGAACTATGAAGGATGTAACTTGAAAGGTGAATCTTCCTGCAGCCGTTTTCCTTCCCAAAAGGCAGAGCCACTCAGGAGAAAACCGCTTAGGTCTCCGGCCGGGGGGACCCATTGCACGCCCAGCAGAGTTGTGCGTGCCAAGCTGGTGCGTGCCCCGCTTGTTCTCGGTGGAGGTAGCTTCAGAGCGACCCATCTGTCTCCCTCTCTGACGTCGCGGACCGTGCCGTGCCCCGGGATGCGGACGCCCCGTCGTTGCTGGTGCCCAGGCCCCGCGGCCGGGGACCGTGTGTCTGCGGCTGGTCGCTGCCGGGGCCCCGCTCCCGCATGTGTGTCTCGGTGTGCGTTTTGTCCGGAAGAATGAACTCGCAGAAGCTGAATTGTTGGATCAAAAGGTGCTTCTTAATTTAGATGCTGACAAATGAGCAAACCTCTTGAGTTCGGCTGATGCTCCTGACGTCCCTCCGTGCCCGCGGGCCGTGTATATACTGACACTCCGATACAGCTTAGTTTTTGGGGACCTGGTGTCTTCTCTGAGTGACAGTGAAGGGCTTCAGTTTTCAAACGCCGTCTGTGTCCTACGCTTCACCTGGTTTTCTGGGACGTGGGTTTTCTTCTTGCTGATTTGCAGGAGTGCTTTTTCGAATGAAGCAATTGTTTGCTAAGTATTTTTTCCAGTTTGTTTGGCTTTATGTTCCTATGTGTAAATTATGCATTTTGTCCTTTTTTTTACCAGCATATCCTCTTAAGGCTTCTGAGATTTGTAGTTTGTTTAGAAAGTTTTTTTTCCCCACTCTGTGATTAAAAAAAAATTGTGTTTTCTTCTGCTCTGCTTTCCATTTTTCCTTCTAAATTTTTGATCCATTCACAATGTAATTTAAAATGTACCTCTATCTTGCCCCAAAATGAATTCCAGTATCTTTTATATTTAATGGTATGTTTCTTTCCCACTGACTTAAAGTACTACTTTCTTGGGGCGCCTGCATGGCTCAGTCGGTTAAGCCTCTGACTCTTGATTTTGGCTCAGGTCATGATCTCAGGGTCGTGAGATCGAGCCCCATGTCAGGGCATGTGTTGGGCATGGACCCTGCTTGGGATTTTCTCTCTCTCCCCGCCTGCCCTTTCCCCACCACCCCCAAAGAAGGGGAGGGGAGGGAGTAGAGGACCACTTTCTCAACCCCTGCATTTCTGTATGAACTTCAGTCTCTGCCTCATGTTTTAAAGGGGTCAAAGCTATTCACCGATGACTTCTCTGTTTTGGAAATTTCCTTCCTATGCTTGCCTGTTTGTTTTCTCTGACCTTGGGGAACCCTTCTAAAAAGTTTGATGGTTGCATTTTGGAGATAGCCTTACACGTGGACCAGCGTAGGCGGAACTGACACCTGGCAGAGGTGGCTTTCTCCCGCCCCCGAGGACGGGAACATCTACGTGTGCCACCTAGATTTCATTACTGCTGGTACTGGACGTGGACTTTTTTCCCTGATGACTGATTGAACATAGGAAGGTTTTTAAGTTCTTCTACCTAGTTTTGTACCCAGCTACCTTGCTGAATTCTTTGATCGGGGGGTTTTCAACCTTGGGTTTGTGTCAGAATCTTCTAGAAGGCGTGCTGAAGGGCAGGTGGCAGGGCTCCACCCCCAGAGTTTCTGACTCCTTAGGCTGGGGAGGGAGCTGAGAGTGGACATTTCTAATGAATCTCCAGGTCCGGTGCTGCTGGTTTTTGCCTCCCGTGATTTCTTCTTTTTCCCTGCAGCCTAACAGCTGTAACTGATACCTACAATGTGTTGAGTGCACTTCCTATGATTGTGTACCTGGAGATGGGGATAGCTTCCCTCCTCTCACAATTTCTAGACCTTTTCTTTCTCTTGATTGATTGTATCAGCAAATACTTCCAGAATTTCAGTAGCAGTCATACCCGCTTCCTACTCTTGACTTAAATGGAAACGCCTCTGGTCTTTTGTCATGAAGCAGGATAGATTTTCGTGTAAAAGAAGTATTCCTTATTTGTATTTATGTTAAGAGTTTCTGTCCAGATGTTGAATTTTTTTTTTCTTCAAAGATTTTATTTATTTATTTGAGAGAGAGAATGAGAGAGAGAGAGCACATGAGAGGGAGGAGGGTCAGAGGGAGAAGCAGATTCCCCGCCGAGCAGGGAGCCCGATGTGGGACTCGATCCCGGGACTCCAGGATCATGACCTGAGCCGAAGGCAGTCGCTTAACCGACTGAGCCACCCAGGCGCCCCAGATGTTGAATTTTATAAAAAGTTTTAACACCCATGATTGCCTGATTCAGAGGTTTTAAATAAGGAATATCAAATCAGTAGGGCGCCAGACACTGAGCTACGTCTGTATGTTAACTGACCTGCTTCGAGTGTGTGAATTCAGTTGGACCGCATTCGGGACTTCTGTAGCTGTGTGTGCAAAGGAGTTGGTGTGTAGTTCTGTTGGGGTCTGATTTTATGTAAGTCATGCTTTAACATTGTGCTAAGCTTACAAAAACAATTTAGAACTTTGCTTTTCTGCAGGTTCTAGAACAAAAGCAAATGAGAGTCCCTTAAGGTATGGGTAAAATTCATCAGGAACTTTTTGGTTTGGTGGGCAAGGAGGGGTGAGCACTTGAGAACCTCATCCATGTCTCTTATCATCTGGGTGGTTTTAAATGTCTGCTGGGGTTTGTTCTGACGATTTTTAAATTTTTTTTTTTTAAGTTTTTTTTATTTATTAGAATGCAGGAGCAGGGGGAGAGGAGGGAGAGGCAGAGGGAGAAGCAGGCTCCCCGCTTAGCAGGGAGTCCAACTCGGGGCTCGATCCCAGGACCCTGAGATTATGACCTGAGCCGAAGGCAGACGCTTCACCGACTGAGTCACCCAGGCGTCCCAGATTTTTAAATTTCCTGGTAAGTTTTTCATTTTATATAAGTCTTCAAATGACTTTACGTAGTATTAAGCGAAATACGTGAAATCTTCTGTAGTTGTGGGGTTTTAATTGCTGTCACTTTTTCTACATGACGTTGTACCAGTTTTGTTTTTTGAAGTTAATTGTGCTTGTTATCTTCTCCAGCTTGTTTTTTTTTTTTTTTTTTTTTTTTACAAATTTGAGTTGACTGTCAAATTACTAAATAAAAAAGAGTGGAAGTAGGTATATAAGCAGAGGTGTTACTTTCTTCTTCAAGCTCTGTCTTCTTTGGCGGCACTGGGTCGATTCTGAGGCGTGTGTTCATGGTTGACTTCTAGATTTTCTGCCGTTCTTACTCCGATTTCTCCTTAGACCCAGGAGGTTTAAAATTTTGGTGTGCTGGAGAATTTTCCTACAAATGGTAATGTTGATTTTCAGTTTTGCTGATTAGTGATTCGAAGAATTGAGTTTTAGCTGTGTCCTTACACACGGCCAGTTGGTCTCCTACTGAATTTTCCGTGCGCTTTGCTACATTTTCCATATGGTGCTCTATGAATTTGGACGCTCAAGATAAAACGTTGAGGTTTTAGTGGTGATTGCGTCTCATTAAATTCCCTTCCTGTCTCACCTAATGCTTTTGGCCTCGATTTTCACCTTGTCTGACATTGTGTCACCCCAGTGTGTGTGGTGTTTGCCTGACGATTGTAGCTCGATTTTGAGTCTGTTTGGTTTTTTTTTATAAACTTTGAAATAATTTAGATTGACCTAGAGTCCCGGGAGTGCCTGTGGACTCCTCACCCAGCTTCCTCTAATAAAAACGTCTTCCCTACCCCTAGCACAGTTGCCCAAACCAGGACATTGGTGTTGATACAATACTCTCAGCTAAACACCAACCTTGTTCGAATGCCACCTGCTTTTAGGCAAACGCAAGGCTTAAGGGCACAGTCTTCCTGGTGGCAAAGCTGCCCAAGCCTTCTGATACCCACTACTAGTTCAGAGGGTTCTCCAAATTACCCTTGGGTTGGACAATTCACTAAAAAGACAGAACTCACCGAAACCCACTGTACTGTTGGTCAGGCTTATGACAGGGAAGGGTACAAATCAGAACCAGCCCGAGGGTAGAATCTGAGTGTTCCAAGAACAGGGCTCCCGGGCCTTCCCCGCAGTGAGTCCTTCTAGAGAATCACCAAGCCTGGGGGTGGCCTTGGGGACCTCCGGCACCAGCCCTGTGGAACTTGATCTCATGTATAGATTCATGTGACCATCACCACTGTTGATGTGAACTCTTCCATGGCCCCCAAAACTCCCTTCTGCTTCCCTGCTTATAGGCACGCCCTCCTAACCCTGCATCCTGGTGGCCTCTCCTCCATTCTCCGTCACCCTTATTGTCACTTAGAGAATGTTAGGTCAGTGGAACCATACAGTACATAACCAGTAAGACTGGTTTCTGTCACTCGGCATGATAGCCATGAGACCAGCCCAGGATGCCACGTGTCCGCTCCCATGTCCACTCCTCCTCATGGCCAGGGCGTCCTCTATCGTGGGGGTGCTCCCGAGTTCCTCCATCCATTCCCCCACAGAACCATGTTTGGGCTGTTCTAAGATTTGGCTCGTACAAGTAAAGGTGCCCTGAGCATGTGCAGATTTGTGTGTGCACGTGAGGGTCCGTATCTGGGACCCTAGGACCTAGCATTGCTGGGTCACAAGCTAAGTGTGTGTTTAACCTGACGGGACGCGATCAGCCTGCTCTGCAGAGTGGCCGTGACACGCACCTGCCCTCCAGCAACACGCGGGAGTCGCTCCTGTCCTCGCCAGCACTTTGATAGATGTGTAGTGTATCCCCTTGCAGGCTGAGGCGGAACATCATTTCCTGTGTGTGTCGTCCTTGGTGAAGACTCAGGTCAAGACTTTTGCCCTGTTCCTACTTTTTTTTTTTCAGTGTTAAATTTTAAGTGTCTAAAAAATATCCTGGATTAAAGTCTATTTTCATTTTTGAGTATGAGATTTGAAAATATTTGTTGTCCAGTCTGTTTTTGTTTTTGGTTTTTTTTTCCCCAATTCTCTTAAATAGTGACTATCCTGGGCAAAACGTTTTGATTTTTGATGAAATTCAATGAGCCTTTATTTTTTCCTGGATTTTTAAACAATTATGTTTTTATTCAAGTATAATTTAGTGTTGGAGGTGTACAATATGATTCAACAATTCTATGTATTTCTCAGTGTTAAGTGCAGTGTACTTAAAAAATTATTTTTAAATTCCAGGAGAGTGAAGATACAGTGTCATACCAGTTTCAAGTGTACAATATAGTGATTGGGCACTTCTGTACATGACTCTGTGCTCCTCATGGTAAATGTTCTCTTAATCCCCATCACCCCCACTCACCCCCATCCCCCGCGCCCTCCCCTCTGGCAACCATCAGTGTGTTCTCTGTAGTTAAGAGTCGGTTTTTTGGTTTGTGTCTTCTTTTTCTTTTTTCATTTGCTTTGTTTTTGAGATTGCACTTATGAGCAAAATCATATGGCATTTGTCTTTCTCTGACTTATTTCACTTAGAATTATACTTGCTGGGTCCATCCATGTTTCTGCAGGTGGCAAGATCTCATTCTAAGATTTTGAGGATGAGTACAGGGGTGGGGGCGGGGGGGGGCGGGCAGAAAGAGAGGGAGACTCGACTGAGCAGGGAGCCCGACACGGGGTCGATCCCAGGACCTCGGGATCATGACCTGACTCGAAGGCAGACGCTTAACTGATTGAGCCACCCCAGGTGCCCCAAGATCTCATTCTTTTTATGGCTGAGTAATACTCCACTGTATATACACTACATCTTCTGTATCCGTTCATCCGTGGATGGACGCGAGGCTGCTTTCATGTCTTGGCTATTATAAATAATGCTGCAATGAACATGGGGGGGCAAATACCTTTTTGAATTAGGGTTTTCATTTTCGTTGGTTCCTCAGGAAGTTAAAAACAGAATTACCATATGACCCAGTAATTCCACTACAGTGTATTTACTCAGTTTCTTTTATCTTTTAGGGATGGTCTTGTGGGGTCAGGTCTAAGAACTCTGCCTAATCCTAGATCCCAAAGATTTTTTTCCCTGTTTTTCTTCTGGTTTTGAGCTGTGGCTCATTTTGAGTTCATTTTTGTGGAAGGCATGAGGCTTGAGTCGAGGGTGGCTCTTTCTGCTGTTCCAACACCATTTATTGAAGTGACGATGTTTTCTTCATTAACTTGCTTCCGAATTGTTGTCCAGAGTCACAACATTTCCTTTTTGGGGGAACAGTTTAAACTACGTCACTGTCCTTAGACGTTTTGGGACTAATCAGATTACTGCATATTAATGTGTTGCAATAGTTTGTGGTTTTCAAGGAATTGGTTTATTTCCTTTGTTAAATTTCTGTGCCTGAGATTCTCAGTATTACTGTTGGACTATCTCGAGGGAGCTGGCATGATCAACCACCTTTGTCCCTAATATTGGCAATTTGTATCTTTTTCCCTTGGATAAACCTCTGGCAAGACTGGCGATTTTATTGAGATTTTAAAAGAACTAGCTTTTATTTGATTTTTTTCATCAAAAATCTTTGACTTCACTGATTTCTGCTGTTTCCTACTTTTATTTTGGTGAATGTCCCTTTGCTGCTGAGGGGTGAGCATTCTATAAATGGGAGTCAAGCTAAATTGCTTAACAGTGTTCAAGTCTGCTATATTTTGATGAAAAGATGGTTTACATTTGCGTGTAGTCTGATTTATCCATTTTACTTTACGGTCAGCATTTTGGGTCTTGGTTAGTAAGATTTCACCTGTCCCTGTTTGTAGTTGTTATTATTTTATCTTTGACATTCACAGTCTACCTTGGGCTGTTTTGTATGGTATTTTATTCAAGGATTTCTGTAATGGTATTAAGGATGAAGAGTACTTTTTTATGTTGTTACTGCAAGTATCAGTCGACCCTGGTGGTTCTTATTTTTTAAGGGGCAGCATGGTGCTTGGAGGCGCCCCTGATTTAGAGCCACGGTGGGCAGCAGGCTGTGGGGGGGGCGGCGGGCAGGAGTTACCAAGGCTTGGCAGCTGCTGAGCCGGTATCAGCCCCGCCCGAATGGCTTCCTCTTGGGCAGCCCCCCTCAATCCTATTTTCGTAGGGACGGCACATGCGTGTCTCTTCCTTTAACTCTGGTGTCACCAGCAGGGGTTATGGAGGGAGGATAGTGACCCCAGGCCATGCATCTTCCTTCCGAGGATTCCGAACTTTGCCTGGGAGCTGCAGGGGTCCACTCTGACCTCCCTCTCCCTGGTCTGGCCCAGGTGTCACCACCCCAGGCAGCCGGTTTTGGGCAAGAGGGTTATGGCCAGGCTGTGGTGCCCAGCTGTTTGGTCAAATACCAGTCTCGCTGTTCCCGTGAGATTTTTTAGGTGTGCTTAACATTTCAATCAGTTGGCTTTGGATCACGGAGGTTGCCTCCATAACGTGGGTGAGCCTCATCCAATCAATCAGTTGAAGGCTTAAGAGAAAGGCCTGGGATGCCCGGGAAGGAAGGAGTCTCATGTTGGCGTGCTCCTGAGTCGCCAGCCCCCTCAGTAGTGTGAGCGAGTCTCTTAGACACGGCTGTGTTCCTCCCTGTCCCCATCCTAATAACAGGGGGCAGGGGCTAGTGGTTACAGCTGTGGCCTCATTTCACGGATGCTGCTCCTCTGTGGCAGCTTCTTGCCTGGCCGCTGCCCTCCCTTATGAATGGTCCTGGGGCTCATCCTTAGGCAGCCGGGAAATTTGCTGGGTCCTGGGGCCCAAGGGAAAGGCCCTTTACCGTGGACCTTAGAGGACGGCAGCTTGGTTCAAGCCGCTCAGGGCTGGACTGTTGGTCGCCCGGGACATGGTTGGGAACAACAGGCTTCGTGGATTTCCAGAAGTGGCATAAGGTTTCCCACGTGGCCGCTTGTAGGTAAAACGCGAATGAGGCGTGGGCCCAGCACCCCCCAAAATGCCTGCTTGCCCCCACCTGACGGGGGAGGAGACGGGGCCTCAGAGCGACCAGAAGCCGTGGCCCCCCGGGCTCCCCATCTTACTCACCCGTGGGCCGCTGTGGTACAGCGAGGGAGGCGGCCAAGGTTCGTACAAATCACTGTGGTTTAATAAATAGTGAGGTGTTTCTGTGCCGTCTGCTCCCAGCCCGTCCTCGAGCCCGGGGCAGAGCCGGGGGGAAGGGGGGAGGCGGCCGCACCGTGTCCTAAAAGCACCCCGCCGACGAGGGGCTGGGGAAGGGCCAGAGTCACGTAAAAATAGGGATTTTACACAGGTGCGGTCCACTAGATGTCTTCTGGGTGAGTCTGGGCTGGCTTGGCTCTGGAGAAGAATTTTTCACATAGTTTGAGGAGCTCTGACAAAATGAACACGGATGAGGCCAAGCCAGTTAAAAGCAACAAATCTGCCAAAAGGGGAAAGGAAAAAAGGGGTCAGAGAGGACAGGATGACGCCCGCCCGCCCGCTTGCAGGAGCCTCGGCCCGGAGCTCCTTTTCCTCCATTTTGCCCTTAGTCACAGAGACCCCGGAGGTGAGCGGGGAGGACCCGGGAGCTGCGGACCAGACCTTTCCCTTCCCGGAAGCAGATCTCAACCCAGCGTGCACGATGCGGCAGAGCAAGCTCCACCACGACCTCCCTGTTTCCAGGTGGCTCTGGGCTTGGGGGTGGGGGGATGTCACCACCTCAGCTAGAACAGGCCCCTCATCCTCCTCCCAACCATCATGAAGGCAGATGCCCCAACCCCTGCTTCAGGCGCCCCGGGCAGCCCTCCCTGACTCGTTCCAGTGGGTCAATCCCTAGACCTTGCCCTGACCCCACAGAACCTTCCCTGGCTGCCCGTTGCCACCATTTCAGTACGAACATGGTGCCCATTGCCACTGGGGGCAGAAGGAGCCCAGACTTGCCCCCCACGGTACAGCCCCGGGGCCTTGCTGTATATGCTGTGAGCCACCAGCCTTGGGACAAGGGGACCAGGAGCCTGCTGCCCTCGGTGGTCCTCCTGGCTGAGGTGCCTCTTTTTCTGGTTCCCTGTGTGCTCCTCCCCGACCACATCGCGCTCCCACTCCGTGCCCACCGCAGTGCGCAGGCAGATGGGGGGGCAGGTGCTGACCCCTCCCACTCACCCAGTGCGCCCAGGTTCTCCGTCTGGAAGACCTTCTGCAGGGGCGGGATGTAAATCACGGCCAGCTGCCCCAGAATTGACCCCAGCACCGAGTACAGGAACATGGGGTTCCGGAGAAAACCGATCTCAAATATCAACTTGGTCTGCAGAGGAGAGGACACGTGTTGGCTCAGCGCTTCTCCCTGAGAAGGGATTGGGTCCTGCAGGGGAGGAAGGAGAGGGCAGCCCGGGGCGCACCTGAGCGCGGCAGGTCAAGGCATTGAAGAGGTCGAAGAACACAAAGCAGGTGAAGGTCATGGTCGTGGTGCGTGGGGTGCTGGCCCTGTCCGCGGGGATCTGGAACACAAAGGCACGGGCTGAGCGGGTCCAGGAAGGCGGTGCGCTTCCCGCGATGAACTCGTCCTGAACCACCCCGCGGGGAGCACCCTTACTGGGAACGGACCGGAACCTCCCCTCGGGCTGGAAGCAGCTGCTGTAACAGGTGACACTGGTCTCAGGACCCCCCCCCCCATCAACCCCAACAGCTGGGGGGGTCAGCAGCCCGCCCTCAGGAATTTTGGCTGCCTCCCACACCCGAGCCGAAACCTTGCGCAGAGAAAGGGAACGTCCCTTCCTCCAGCAGGTGACCTGGTCTCCTGGGAGGGGACATTGCTACAGCCCCTGAGCAGAACATCCCTTCCCAGAGGAAGGTAGGGGACGGAGACCCTCCCTGGCTTGCGCACTGCTGCTCAGGACCTGAGGCAGGTCTCCTTCCCCTTGACCTCTCAGGGCCGGGCCTGGAGCCGCAGGTGAGAGGGACGCACGTTCTCCCCCGCCCTTCCCCCTGCCTGTGGGAGGTGGAGGGGAGCCCGCCCTGCCTGGGCTTGTCGGCTGGACCATGATTCTCGGCAGACTCCCCAGGTTGGGGGGCAGGGGGTGGCGCATGTGAGTTAGAGCCCGACTCCGGAGTCCTGGTGGAGGCCCAAGGTCCCGGAGAGGTGGAGGCTGCTGTGGGGACCCTCTGCTGAGGGCCACTGTGTGAGCCCGGAGGGCCTGGGTCCCTGTCCCCACCAGGTGGAGCACACAGGCTGGAGGAAGGGGAGGCCTCCCCTGCCTGGCAGGTGAGAATTTGGGAAAAAGCAAGGCTGCTCCTCTGGAGAAAAACTGAGAACCTGTGGGGGATCCCGTGTCCCATCCCTCTTGTTGCACGTGGCAACAAGTTCTCCAGCCAGAGCACTGCATGGTGGCACGGAGGCCACCAACAGGTGACCCCTAAGTTCCTGCAAATACTCCCCTCCAGGGAATAAACTTCCTTTCAGTAAATTTCAAATTGTTGCCGTGAGAACAGAAAGCAGCTTCGGGTCCCATTTAGAATAAAATCTCCTTTCTTTTCCACGCCTGGGAGGCCTCCTATCCTCCAGCCCATCCCCCCTCTGTGGTCAGCTCCGGGTCCCCTGTCTTCCCTCGCTGACAGCCCCCTGTGCGTGTGCACGTGTCTCCCCGCCTCAGAGCCTGCGCCCCACGGCCGGGCAGGGACTGTCCACACCCCCGGCCCCGAGTCTCCTACCTCAGGGGCTTAGCGAATACCGGCTTAATGAGTCAGGGAGGACTTGCCTCACCTCTTTCCAGAAGATAAAGAGGGTCCCGCTGATGATGACGGCAGCCGACAGGAGGATCTTGAGGATGAGGGCTCTACCGAGGATGGTGTCCTTGACGTTCCGTGGGGGCTGCTGGAGGGTGTCTCTGTCCACCGGCTCTACCCCCAAGCTGCTCGGAACAAGACGTGGGGCGCCCTGACGTTAACCACTGAGAAGGGTCACTTCAGACAGCCGGGCAGTGGCTGAACAAGCGCAGCTGGAGCGGAGCACGATCCTTCCAGGCTCTCTGGTCAGCTTCGCAGGCACGGCGGAGGTGTGGGGGGCTGGGGAGCTGGGGCCCAGCGCCTCCAGGCTGTCCACGCAAGCCAGGGCCCTCTGTCTGCACTGGAAGCCTCCCCTCACACTCTCTGCCCCCTCCCTAACAGCCTAGCCCCTTCCATGGTGCCCCCCCCCCCCCGCCCCGGTCTGGGCCCCACGGGCAGCCCTCCCCTCCCCCAGGGCCGGCCACACCACGGTCCTGGAACCACCCCGGGTTCCCGCAGCGGGCTGGAGAAATGGGATCCACCACAGAGCCCCCCACTGACTGAGCAGACTAAAACAGCGGTGGGGGGGGCACTGGGGGGGACCCCGCTTCACTCCTGGCACTATTCCCAGCATAGAAAGAGGACTCTTGGCAGCTGTAACTGGTGATATTGAATTAATATTAGTAACATGTATCAAATATAATCAGATGAAACGGCACACACTGTGCCTCCCCTGCTCGTGGAGGTCATTCTTTCTCCTGCACCATTCGGCTAGCCTAACGCTCCCTTCTGATCCATCCAACAAATAACTCATTGACCAGCTACTGTGTGCCAAGCACAATTCTAGGAGCTGGGGATACTGTAGGGAACAAAACCACAAACCTTGCCCAAGGGGGGACAGATCTTAATCAGATAAGCAAGGACATACGTGCATATTTTCTCCCCTAGGGAAATATAAAGCAGGGAGGTGAATGAGAGCCAGGAGGCTGCTGTTAGAGTAATCAGGGAGGACTTCCTGGAGGCGGTGACCTGAAGAGAGGGGCTGAGCCCTGGAGCTGCACAGGGACAGCATCCCCCACTGACCCTGGCTGCACACACAGGCGCTTCCTCCCAGGCCTAGGGCATGCCGCTGGCCATCTTCCCCCACTAGGACTCCTGGGGACAGTGACTGTGTTTGCACCCACACTCTGTGCAGGGGCCCGAGGCTGCAGCGGGGGGCAGCCTGGTGGAAGTGGCGCAGTTCCCCAGCCAACCCGGAGCCTCACCTCTGTGCTGGTGGCCCGTCCATGATGATGTTGATCCACAGGATCTGCATGGCGTTGAGGGGGCTGGGCAGGTTGCACACAGTGGACAGAGTGATGAGGCTCAAGGCGGAGATGCTCCTGCGGGGCACACACAGGGACGGTCGATGGCTGCTTGCCAGACGGGCGCGCAGCACCTGACGGCACTGGGGGCCGCTGGCCTGGACTTACGTGCTCAGCTGAAACCGGACGAAGTTTTTGATGTTATGAAAAATCCCCTTGCCTTCCTCCACCGCATTCCTGCAAGAGAGGACAGAGTGTTTATGCACAAAGATGGGCCCGGCGGAAAGGTTCCGGCGCCTGCGTTAGCGGCGACAGGAAGCGATGGTGTCACCAGAGATGACCTCATGCCTGGGCACCACTTCCTGTTTGCCCTCCTGCTCCAGGCCATGCCCGCGGAGGAGGTCCTGACCGGCACCCTCGGGCGCTCCCACCCCCAATTACTTCAATTACGAGGAAAGACTTAACTAGAATGGATTAAAATTAGATCTAGAGGGCAGGCAATTTTTTTTTAAGAAAACAGAAAAAAGTGAATAGAACAGGTGCTCTGTCATCCTGGCAGCTCGAGATCACATCAGCGACACAGACATTCCTGCCTCGTCTCCATCAACGCGTGAAACGTCCGTGTCGGTGCAAACACGACCCTAGACTCAAACCACGCACGTTCACTTTCAGTGATTTTTACTTAACACTACAGCGTGGCATTTCTGTGTCTTTGATGCGTCCCTCAAAACCTCATTCTCAAAAGCCTCGGAGTCCTCCCGCTCTCGCTGTCGGCAGCCAGGGCGGTCTAGGATTTCCCCATCAACGCTGCAGCGACCGCTCGGGCGTGCGCCTCCATCCGCCCACCTGACCCCGGCGTTCCCGCCAGATGCGCCCTCGGGCTGCAAGTAGCGCCTGCTGCACGTGTCTGTAGCATCCCCCCCAGGTGCTCTTGGGCCTGGGACACCCGTATCCCTAGCAGAACAGATTTGGGGGATGGGCAGCTGCTTACGCCAGGCATTTCTGCTACTAAAAAACGAAACAAAACGAAACGAAACACCTACGGAGCAACTTACATGATGGCTGAGAAGTCATCGTCCACGAGGATCATGTTGGCAGCCTCTTTGCTAACGTCTGTCCCCGTCTGCCCCATGGCAATCCCGATGTCCGCGGACTTCAGGGCGACCGCATCGTTCACCCCGTCCCCTGTCATGGCCACGATCGCCCCCCATTCCTGCAAAGCCTTGGTAAGGAAGAGGCGAGTGGAGGCTGCAGCCCTTCCAGAACCTTGCTTCCCTCTGGATGCTCTGCCTCTCCCACCGCATGGCCGACAGCAGAAGCCCCTCTCTCGAGTCAGCCGGTTGGGGTCTGAATCCCAGCCCCACCTGCACCAGCTGTGGGAACTGGGCAAGCCCTGAACCTCTCAACCTCAGCTTCTCCGTCAGCAAAGTGGGGGCAACTGTCCCTCCTCCTCTGAGAGCTCCACTAAGACCGCGGGTGGGAGGCTCATGCGTGTTATCCATCTCCATTAACAAAGAAAAGTCACCTTACCCCTGAAACCACACGGTGCCCAGTAAGTACTAATGTTTTCTCTTAGGGATACCGTGCATGGAGATTTGCTCCCGAGAACTAAAACCCCCCCAAATAGCATAAAGGATAAAACAGCCCGGAGCTACAGAGCATATCTTCAAAGCGCGTACAGGTGGGAGGCCGAGCACAGCGGCAGGGCCCTCCTCCCTGCACGACAGAAAACCACATCCGTTCTCTGCTGGGCACCCGCTGTGTGCCAGGCGCTGCGCAAGGCACTCCAAGGCCTGGCCTCCTCTAGTCCTCTCACCAGCCTTGTGAATTAGCTGACATCATTCAAACATTCATTCCCCCGTTTACAGATGGGGAAACTGAGGCCTGGAGGTGAGTAATGAGAACGATGCCAAAGAGCACTCGGCTAACAGAGGCTAGCTGCTTTTTATTTTTCTCTCTGCACCACCCAATCCCTGCTCCTGTTTTTGGTGGACGTGGCAAAGATCCCCCTGTTCTCCTGCCAGTTTGAGGACGGCTGAGGCTCCCACCAGGTTGAGCCCTGGAGCAGAACCCCCCATCGTCCTGGACTGACTCTAACAGACAAATGAGGCACCCAGCTTACCTTTATGATTTTGAGCTTGTGCTTTGGGCTGGTCCTGAAGAAGACAGATACCTGGACACAGAGGCGCAGAAGAGCAGAATCCGTGAACTTGGAGCTGAAACTACCCCCTGCCCCGCAACAAGACCCCCTGGGAGGAACCCACCTTTCTGACGTGGTCAGTCAGCTCTTCCTGCTCCATACTGTCCACCTCTTCCCCGGACATGGCTCTCAGCTTCCCGTTGCAAAGGCCAATGTTCCTTCCTGCACGGTGCCGAAAATCCATTCTGAGCACTTGCTCCCAAGCCTGAGACCGCTCCTGTGCCCACCCCTCACTGCACCTGCCTGCCCCCCAGGCCCTGCCTGGGCCACAGAGAATGATGAGAAAACCATGATGACATCATGCACTGAGCACCTGCCCTGTCACAAGATCTCAATGCCATCCACGCAATTAACTTGCAACAGAGGCCTTGTTATCCCTTCTTTAAAGGTGAGGAAAGGGAGGGCAGGGACTTCCCCAAGGTCACAGAGCTGCTGAGGGCTGATGCTGGAACCAGATATGGTTTTGTCTGATTCTGGAGCCTCTAATCTTTTCTCGGGGCCGGGTGCCTTGAGACAGGGCGGGGAGCAGACCAAGGTGTGACGCCCTCATTATGGTATTAAGTAGAATGAGAGGAGGAGGGCTACTGGCCCTCTGTGGGCGAAGAGCCTGGAGGTCAGAGGGGCTCAATGACCTGTGGGCACACGGCACGCGGCAGAAGCCAGCCCAGAAGTGAACACGGGGAATGCCGCTGCCTGGGAAGGGGGTGTGAGCTCGGGGATAAAGGCCCCCAGCACGCGGGAGGTTGTCAGCGGGCACTAAGGCTCTGCCCCCCTCGGAGGATCTGCTGACATTTTAGGGCCAACCGTGTGAAGGTGGAGCGCTGGTTCTCGAAGCTCACAGTCCCGACGAGGACCCGCTGGCCGCCCGCCCTCTCCGCTTACCTATGGCGGAGGCGGTCTCCAGGCCATCGCCCGTTATCATCTTCACCGACACGCCCGACTGACAGAGCACCTGCACCGCTTCCTTCACTCCAGTCCTCGGAGGGTCGATGATCCCGACGAGCCCCAGGAAAGTCAGCCTCCCCAGCTCGGGCCCAGAGGCCAGGGCCAGCACTGAGGAGACACCAAGAGCCACAGAGGGTCCACGGGGGGCGAGGGCCAGGAAGTCCCCAGGCAGCCCGGTCCCTCGGCATCCCAGATCCTCCTCTGCCTGCGCGGGGCTCCCCGGGGCTCTGGATGGCTGGCCCCGAGGTAGAGAGAAATGTAGAGACAACCTGACCGGCAGAAAGTAAGACTTTTGTCCGCTGGTGGCGTAAATCCCAACCACACCCCAACCAGAGGGACCAGAATGAAATCTGCGAGCTGGCAAGCGATGGCACGGTCCCAACGGCTCTTCTGGTCTCTGCTGTTGCCACCTGCCCTTTTAGGGGAGCAGCTGCAGGGGAAGAAAAGGTGCAGGAGGGCACTATGGGGTACAGGCTGTCTGCTGGCTTGTCCTGGCCTTGACTCCGGGGTCCAGTGCTCCTGGAGGGGGTGTTGTGAAAATGACCTTACTTTGTCACCTTCCTGATACTGGGGGGGCCGTGGTACCCTTCCTCCCTTTCCCAAAGCTGCCCTCCCCGCCCTGCTCGGCTCCATCTCAGCAGACCGGGACATCCTCACTTTGTACGCTTGTCCGCAAGCTGCTAGCAATTTATCATGTCTCTTTCCTGAAGGGAAAAACCAAGGCAACTGGCACCCAGCCCAAAGCTTCTCATTGTCCCCAGAGAGAGAAGACAAGGGTTCCAGAGTGTTTTTAAATACTTCCTCTGACAAACAGCGCTCTGGGAAACGTGAGCTTTCATGTTCAGCTCGTCAGGGGAGGCGTTGCCCCTGGTGCGGAAAACTGGAAACGGCCAAGGAATGACATGTCTGCCTTGATTTCAAAGAGCTTTGGGTTTTCCTGATGGTAAGCAATGAGCAAAGACGACCAATCAGGAAAATCAGTGTTTCCGGTACGCCTCATTCATCTGTCTTAGAAACGTCAGCAGGGAGGCACCAGCTTTTCTCACACACATGAGCTGCGTCCGGACTAACTGGTGTCATTTGGTGGCTGGGCTTGCAGGGGGGTGGGGGGGGCGGCTGTCTGTCTTTCATCTGCCCATCGATTCCATGTTTGCCTTACTTTCATTAGCACACCGCCCGGCTGCTGCTCTGATCAATCCCCTTACTAAGAACCCTGCATCAATGCACTTGAAAAGTCAGTGGTGCACTTGAACTTAAAGCTCGGGGCTGGGGACCAAAGGTACTGACCACGCAGGCCAAGCGACCCCATCCTCCTCTCCTCCTGCTGGCAGAAGGATCTCTGCTGGGGGGTCAGTGGAAGGGGGATGCCTCCGGAGTTGTACATGGTACAGTAATTAATCACTTCTTCAAAGGCCCCCTTCATGAAGTAAATGTCTTCCTGGTCCTTGGAAAAGAAAAAAAGTCCGCTGTCATTGGATGCTTCAGCTCTTGGTGACCGTCACCTCGTACACACAGCGATGCTCACGGCGGGGCTCTTTCTGGTGGACCGTTACTGCTCACCAATACAGGACGGGTTAGATCAATCACAGGAAGGCCACATGACAGAATACCACAGAGCCCGTGGAAGGACTGAGGCGGATCCTTGATCCTTGTTAAGGCCAGCGCGTGGCCCGAACCCGGCATAGCCCAGGCCCCGTTCCACCTGTGCGTGCGGGACTGCGCGCTAGAGGTCGATTTAACGGGCACGTACCGTTTCTGCTGAGTTCACCGCTGCACATGGCTCATAAAGGGGAACCTAAAGCCCCTGTTTTCCTGTGTGTTTAAGCTCCGTCTCCCGTAGACGGTAAGCTCTGTGCAGAAGGCGCTGTGCCGCTGTGAGTCACTCTGTCCATGGCATTAGCACTGAGCCTGAGTGCCCACGGCGGGCAGGAATGAGCTCGTATGAGCTCATACAGAAAGGTGTCTAAGACGTCACCGTAAGGGGAAAAAAAGCAAATTACAAACACTATCTACAGCACGGCCTAGTTTTAAAACTACCACCCCATATGTTGCCATGTGCATATTTAGAACCTGGAATATTCCATCCCAGACTGCTGGGCGGGGGGTGGGGGGGGTGGGGGTGGTGATGGGTCAGGAGAGAAGAGGGGCAGAATTGTAAGGAGCTCCCATTTTTAAAGTTACACTTCCATAATTTATTTCAATGAGAATATATTACTCTTGTCTTTGGAGGAAAGAAAAAAGATTTGAAGGTATTAAAACATTTAAAAAATCTGTAACCCCTTTTAAGCAGAGAGGATTTGTACACCCATCTACTCATAGCAAAGGCCTGGAACGCGCTGGCCAAGCCGCCCACTGCCCTGAACAACAGAGGAGGAATCTCAGCACGAGCAAGATGTGACAGGTTCCAGAAAGAATAGGAGAGAAGTAAAGGGCTGGAGAAAAAGGTGGAAAGCAATACAAAAAAACTTCTTAAAAAACCCTTTTACTGTAGAAGATCTGAAAAGCTACAGAAGGTTAAAAAAGAAAAAGAGGGGAAAAAGAAGTCAGCTGTCATCCCCACGCAGGGTTAGCCATGAGGAGTTTGGTGCATGTTCCTCTGGTCACTCAAACCAGGTGCACACACATGCACGTGTCTATATGCACCCATGTGATGCGTGAGCTCACTGTTCACACCATCTGTGCTGCGTGCTGGGATGCACCTCCTGATCCCCCTTCAGGAGGGAAGGACTGTCCCCACCTGGTGATGATCAAAGGTGCTCATACCTGTAAAGAACTCGGCACCAGGATGTGAAGAAAGGACCCCCAAGGTAGCAAGGGGGGGGTCACTGTCAATGGTAGGAGCATGCATCAAAATTCCCAGCAAACACAGGTTACCGGCTCTACTCCTGATTTTCTTTTTAAAGATTTTCTTTCTTTCTTTCTTTTTCCTTCCTTTCTTTTTTTTTCTTTCTCTCTTTTTCTTTCTTTCGTTATTTATTTGAGAGAGAGAAAGATTGCGAGCAGGGTGAGAAGCGGAGGGGGGAGAGAGAGGAAAGAATCTCAAGCAGACTCTGCGCTCAGCGAGGAGCCTGACAGAGGATTCGAACTCATGACCCTGAGATCATGATCTGAGCCAAAACCAAGAGTCAGATGCTTGGACCGAGGAACCACCCAGGCGCCACGCACTCCTGATATTTCTGACTCTGAGGTTCTGGGTGGAGCCTGAGAATCTGCATTTTTAACAAATTCCCAGGGGATGCTGCTGGTCCAGGAACCCCACTCTGAGAACTACTGTTTCAGGCAAAAATCTCAGAAGAGAACCCAAGGTAATCAACGATCTAATTGCTATCAAATGTATTTTCATGTATTTGAAACTTCATAGAATCTAGGAGCTTTAAACTCTCCTCCTTGATGCCTGCATTTTCGTTCCTTTGGGGTGTAGGAGAGAGGGTGGGAAGGGGCAGAGAAGCAAGCTCACCTCGTTCTTGGGGCTGCATTTTACTGCCATCCATTTCTGCTCCGAACTGAATGGAATCTCTTTTTTTCTCACGTACGAATCTTTAATATCACTTAAGTCCATCTAGGATAATAACATGCAAGCTTCCAGAAAGTCATCCTAAACCAATCTCTATGCAAAGCTCAGTCCACTTAAATTATTCATGATTCAAACCATTTCCAGCAGATGAGAAATCCAAGCTCACAGAGAAAGGCCATTTGCTTTCAAATGAAATGTCCCACTCAGAGAAAAAAGGTCTCGTTTCTCTTGTTCAGGGACAGAACCAGCTTGGTCTTCGTGATAGCTTCTGGCACCCCACCCCACTGCCCACCGCTTTGGCATCCAGGGGTAGCCATTCTGCACGTGGCACTGGGCACAGAGTGGGGGCATTTCTGCCAAGTCCCAGACTCAGGGTCTGACCTCAGAGCCCTGCAATCAGTAGAATGAGCTAAAAGGAAGGGGTCTTTCCTGGAGGGGGCTCGGGGGCCACCAGGTGGGTTGCATTCCTCTGTCTCCCCAGCACCTCCATGGGATCTGAGCCACAGGGCACCCGAGGATTCGTATGGGACTGCCAGGAAGGGTGGCATGGAGAATGTTCCAGAACCACGTGGCATGTCAGTGACTGTCCGAGGACGTTTGAGGGCACTCTCTCCCGTTATTACTAAGCTTCCCCATTCCTCATCTGCTCAGACACGAGCTCAAATTCTGCCACTAATTCAGCCCCAAGTGCAAGAACTCCCGGTGCAGACCATCAGAGGGTCCCTACCTTCATGGCCAGGGCGATCAACGCACCTTCCGTGGGCTGTCCCATCACGGCGTTTTTTCTGATGATGGCGTTGTTGGCCACACAGCCTGCCTGAAAGGGGGGATTTCCGAATGTCTGTAGTTAATATTCGGAGCTGGCACCCCTTAGGGTCCTGGGCTCACTCATCCATGTGAAAAAGTCACATGCTGAAGGCCTGACCTATTTTGGGGGCGGGGGTTGGGGTGAGGGTGAGGGACAAGATTTACTCTTCAAAGTACATCGGGGTCCCCGCTCTTCAAAAGAAACACCGTAAATATTTACTGATTCCACTGAGCGCTGGTTGTCACAAGGCCCTTGTAAGGCGGTATCATGGGGGGTGGGGAGGCTGGGGAGATGGGGTGACCGCTAATGGGTACGGGTTTCCACTTGGGTGACGAACTGTCCTGAAATTAGATGCAGCAGTGGCTGCCCAACTTTGTGAATGTACTAAGGCCACTGAGCTAGTACACTTTAAAGGGGTGAATTCTGTGCTATAGGACTTACATCTCGATAAAAAATGATAATAAAAAAAAAAAGAAACACACACACAAAAAGAGCGTGGGGGTGAATCCCGGCTCCCTCCCTCCCTGGCTGGGTGATCCCGGACACTCTCGTCACCTCCGTGAGCCCGTGAGACAACATCTCGATCCGGACCTTGGAGGGCACCCGGCGTGTGGGAGGCACGAGTCCGGCTAATATTGCTCATATCGACAGCGCAACCAGGCTCACTGTCCCACATTCGCCGAGTACCTTCTCTAGGCAGGTGTCTCTTTAAAGCCTTTCCAGCAGGTAGGGAGGAGGACAGAGAATATAGCTCTTCTCTCACCTCCAGGGTCACCACCCGTTTCTGGGCCACTGGGACACCTGACCCCCGGGGGTGTGGCCCAGGTGTCACCGAGAACCAGCTGGCCCTCTCTTCAGGGCGAATCCCCATCAGTTCCTCCTAAATGCGTATTTCCACAGTGGGGCTTTTGACACTCACCTCTACTAATTTCCCCACTGAGACGTTGCTGAACTCCTTAATGACTTCCTTTGAGGGTAACAGACAGACGGTCCCTTTGCCGTTATACCCCACTCCGCTGACCTGCAAGGCAAAGCCGCAGAGAGGATGTCACCAAGCGTCAATAAGACCCTCCGCCCCGGCTTGTCCCCTCATCTCTTTTCTGGGGGACCCACCCCAGGGACAGACTCCTACCCACAAACAAGGCTTTAAGCATGAGGATGTTCCCTGCACATTTATCCATCAGAAAACCTCAAAAAGGGCCAAGCTTTGGAAACTGCAGAAAGCTTCCTCACCGGGATATTCAGCAGCCAGGGAAAACTGCTTCAGAAAACGAAGTGCTAGCACAGAAGGGAGCTTCCGTTCTAGCACAGAGGGAGGCAAATCTTCCCCAGGGAGCCAGAGCGCGGACGTGTAAGCCTTTGCAGCCCAGGGGTCTGCCAGGACCACGCTGCCCTGTGGCTGGGGCACAAAGGGAGCTGGTGACGGACAACACGTAAACCACAGGGCGTGCCAGCTGGCCGGCCACATTCTATTTACAGACACACGCCCTGGCCCGTGAGCGGTCACTGCTGACACCTTAGTCTGGAAGTTCTGTGAAAAACCCCGCAGGATACACAAGCACGTTCCGGGGGCTTGCGACTGAGCCAGAGGCACAGGGGAGAGACTGAAAAACCCCGAGGGACCGTCATGGTCAGTTCATCACAGGCCGTTACGGGCAACTGCTTCTTTGCTTCTATGTCATGTAACGAGCTTATTATTAAAAGATCATCGCAAAAAAATAAAGTTGGCTCCCTTAACTCGGTCACGTTCCTTGCTGCTATTTGTACCAAGCAAACTGTACAATAACCCATTTTTGTCTCTTCCTTACTGCTTTCTAGAAGGTTCCATGTACTTTTAGGAAGGAAAAGGTCCGCGGCACAGGGCTTACCTCAGCATGGAGCCCATCGGACGTCACCAGCTGGGTGACGGTCATCTCATTGGCGGTCAGCGTCCCTGTCTTATCCGAACAGATGACACTGCAGCAACCTGTCACAAGGCAACCCCCGTTCAGAGGACAGAGAAACCATCACTGTTCATCCTCAAGCTAATGAAATAGCCCGGCCGAACGACCACTCCTTCAGTCCCATTTACAAGATTCCAACCAGCAAAGTCCCTTACCTAAGGTCTCCACGATTGGTAACTTCTTCACGATGACGCGCTTCTTGGCCATCCGCAGCACTCCCAGGACCAGCGTAACCGTGACGACGATAGGCAGACCCTCGGGAATGGCAGCCACAGCCAGGCTGGATCAAAAGGCCAGATGGATCACCTTTAACACATGCACTGAAGGAGGACATGAATCCCAACTGGGGTCACCAACACTTTGACCCGGTGAGGCATGTCTCTGGTGTCCCCCACGTCCCCGTTCTAGTCTCTGTTCCCAATCCCATGATGCACCCGTCTCCTCCAGCATCCACGGCTCTGAGTTCTCCTGTTGCAAAACCCTGCTCTTGGGAACGGACCTCCCCTATCAGACATCCACACTATAGCATAAATTAGTCCCTCAGTTGTTTTGCCTCTTAAAGCACTTTTGCACTTAATTTACTGTCGTTTATTAGAGAGAAAGGCCTTTGGGTCCTATGAAAGGAATTTCCAGAATTAGTAAGTGGGAAGTGGAATTTTTTGGTTCAGAGGATCCTCCCTGACTCCCCTGATTTTCACTTTTCACTGGTCTAGTTGTTTAGACACTTCTGATAAGGAAGCCAAACAAGGAAATTGAGGTTGAAGGGAGGTAGTGTGACAAAGCTGTGCCTTTGACAATTATAACAGAGCCATTTGGGTGTCCATTCGTTTCATCATTATCCCTCCAACTCTTTCTGTACCATGTGACCCCACCCTCACATAGCCACGGCTGATTGGTTTAGAGACAACATGTGACCCCAGCTGAACCAGTGAGCTTCTCTCTCGGGAAACTGAATTGGGATAAAGAGGGTGGATCCCTTCTTGTGGGAGGTGTGTCCGCAGGTGATGGGATGTTAAGGTGGGGCTCCTTCTGCCTCAGATTTGGTTCCAGAACATCATGGCGGACTGATTCCCCATTCCACACCCCTGAGCAGGTGTGGATGAGGCAAAGGGCTGGAGTGGGACTTCCGGCTGGTCTCAGGCCTGTGGGGGAGGCTGAAGAGTTTTGGGGCCAGGCTGGAGAGGGTGCCTCTGTGCAGAGCTGTGGGTGAACGCGACCAGCCACACCCCACCACGGCTCACCCTCTGCACCAGCACATCCAGCAAAGCCCCGTAGGCATTCAGCAAATATATGCTGGACAAACAGATAGGAATGAGTGAATACAGGCACGCCTCACAGGCACTGTGGGTTCAGCTCCAGACCCTCGCAATAAAGCGACCGTCCCAATACAGCAAGTCAGATGAACCTTTTGGTCCCCAGTGGCCATAAACGTTATATGTTTATATTGCACTGTCATCTATTAAGTGTGCAAGAGCACCATGTCTAAAAACCCAATGTGTAGAATTTAATTTAAAAATACTTTATTGCTAAAAACTGCTGACAATCACCTGAGCTTTCAGCACACCGGGTCACTGGTCACAGATCGCCATAAAAAATAATGACAATGAAAACATCTCAGATATTGCGAGAATTACCAAAATATGACAGAGATGTGAAATGACCTAATACTATTGGGAAAAATGGCCCAATGGACTTGTTCAACACAGGCGTGCTACAGACCTTGACATGGTGAAAAATGCAGGATCTGCAAAGCACCATAAAACGAGGGACGCCTGCACACCTAGAGCACGGGGCGAGAGCCGCGCTGGCCCGGCACACAGCGAGCATTCTACGGGCTTGCCTCAGCGTCAGAAAGCCTGGCTGCGTCGCACATGGCTATCCTATTTCATCTAAGCTAAGACATGGCTGATGGTGAAGGGGCCCACTGTCTGCGTACCACTAAGAAAAAATGCTGCCAGTTATTTAAACACAGGGTGCTCTCTTATCTCCTCATTTGTAAGAAGCAGTCTGTCCTGAGAAGTGTGAAAAAAGAAAGTGCGTCTTAGAATCAAAGAAATACGGTACATGAATCGTGGCCTTTTCCCTGGCAACAATGGAACATTCAGGGGCAAGTTCTCCGAACCAAGATTACTGAATTTGATCAAGGGACTGTGCCCAGTTTCTATGGTGACAGCAAGAAGGCTTCCTTGGTTTTATGGCAGAGGTTGACAAGACCAGCTAAGCAAACATTTGCAGAGGGCTAGGATGAGGACTTCCCCCCATGTGGTGTGGGAAGGGCGTTTTTACATGTACTTGGATGCTTGCATGATAATAAAAAATTAATCCACAAAGTAGTAAAGATTAGCATGGGCCAGGAAAAGCGAGTATACTGTGGAGCATCTTGAATGTCACTTGAGGCAGAGGGAATTAGGATAAACTGTTTGAAAGAACAATTCTCAAGTTACTTCTTTTGGAGAATCTCTTCCTCACTAGCTCTCCTGCTATTTCTACCTTCTGATTCAGTGATTTCAAGCAGCTGACTCCACTAAAAATGTTCATCTTTGCAAAGTCACAAGTGAAATGGACAGAGTAAATTTTCTCTGGATGGCAAGCGTACCATGGATCTAGTGGGAGAAGTGAGAGGGAAGGGACGTCGAGATCTGGAACCAGAAGGGACCAGCAAATGGTACTGGGAAGGGCGGGCAGGGAGGGTCATGGAGGCCTTTTCTGTTACTTACTTGGAAATACTGAATAGTCATCTTGGCTCATAAAGACTTTTCTATGGTTTTTAAGGTGGGAATGGAATGTGCCATTATTTGGGGGACATTCTTAGGTGTCACGGCTTCTGAGTGCTCTGCTTTTTCTGGAAGTTCGCCCCAGGGCTCAGGCTCCTCTGTCCCTGCACCACCACACCTGCCTCTGAAGGCTTAGTCACCTGAGCACTCTTGTCAGGGGCTCAACCTTCTTCCCCAGCCCTGCCTCTTGCAGTGGGCCACCACTTAGAGCAGCATTGGCACCCCAGGGAGCTTGTCAGGAATGCAGAGTCTCAGCTTCTCCCCACCCACCCCAGACCCACCGAATCAGGGCACCAGTGATTGGTGAGCAAACTTTCGCCAGGACCCTCCCGTCCTCAGGCTAATTCTGGAGACCCCTACTCTACACTGACCCACTCTTCCAGGATGCGCATCCTGGCCTCGAACCCCACATTCCACAGCCAGCTCCCCATGCCCCCGGAGCCCCCTCTCGGCTGCAGCCAGCTAGGGCTCACAGCCCTGTCACCTCCTGTGTCTATGTCAAGAACGGCCAACACGTTTCCAAAACAAGAGTAGCGATGGCCCAGCATGCCATGTGGAGGGCTCGGATGATGTTTTTTAGAATCAGGAGTAAAGGGACCCATAAGCGGCTGGCACTATGTGCCCTACCCAACTCCACTGTGTGGTTCTGCTCATGGAGCCCAGCCAGTCCCTCCTGGTGTCCCCAGAGGCCCCCAGCTCAGTCCCACCCCCCACCGTGGTGGGACCCTCCCCGCTGAACCCCCTTCCTGCCTTCTCGAGCAGGCTCCTCCTCGTCTCCCACCCCTCAGAGCACCTTCCCCAGCCACCCTTCCAGGACAGGTCTCTTCCTGCCCCCCTTCTACTCTCTCTGCAGCTTTTTCCTTTGTAGCCTTGACTGTGAGCTATGATTATCTTATCAACGTTCGCTTGACTCGTTCACACTTACTTTCCCCATCAGCCCGCAAACTCTGATCTGGCTCCATCACCCTGGGTCAACGGGCGCTCAACGAGTATCTGCAGGGCCAAGGCCAGTGGCCGGGGGGCCAGCTAGGGGGTGGTGGTATGCGGGAGAGTTCCTGCCCTGCCCCAGAGGCCGCGCGAGGGCACCGCTGTGCGGGGTAGGCCAGCCTCCCCTCTGTTTAGGCCAACACACTTGCCCAGAGCCACAGAATCAGCTAGCAGAAGAGACAGGCTTCAAACAAACCCACAGCATTCTGACCCAGGGCCAGGGTCCTGCTCCCCCATTGGCCCACCTTCCCCGCCACCCTGGCGAGGCGAGGTCGGCGCCGTGCCCTTACCTGACCCCGATCGTGAACATGCTGAGGAGCTGCTTCCCTTGCAGCCAGCCAGTGAACATGATCAAGCCTGGGGAAGAGACAAGAAGTGTATGTACGCACACACGTGCACACGCGTACGTCCTCGGACATGCAAACTTGTTTCCAACTCATTCCCTTAAGAGTTTCAGGAATAGATGAATAAGGTGACGAGTAAGAACCTCAAGTATTGTAACCACTCTCCTGTTTCTTAAGACCTTCCACACCTGCAAAAAAGAATGGTTTCACTTTCTCAGGCAAGGACCAAGCCAGTTCAAGAAGGAAATGATCAGCCAGTTAGTTCCTCTCGGGCTGTTTGCAAATGTTTACAGGTGATCCCCGTGCTCTCCCCAGGTGCCCCACGTGTGGGGACGCCCCCACAGTGTGGGATGTGGCAGCTGACGTGCTCCTGCTGACGGGCACATGGGCCCGTTGCTTACAGGACTTGCCAGAGAGGGACCCTTGGGTCGGAGAAGGGGCGCGAGTCACGCTGGGACCCATGAAAATGCACAGGACGTTCCGGCAATGGGGAGAAGTTCTGGGGCCGCCAGGTGCGGCCTCAGTGTCTGGATCTGTAAGGTGGGGATAATGACCATGTCTCCCTCGAGAAGTTGGTTCAGGATTTAAGAGGCAACAATCCCCTCCAAGTGCTCAGCACAGCTCCTGGGGGCTGTTATTGCCTTTGCGGCCGGAAGAGGCGGGAAGGTGAGCGGAGTCGCCTGCTTGAGCCTCGGAGGACCTGCCAAGGAACAGCAGCTTCACGTCACGGGGAACGGGGAGCCAGGGCAGGTTCTGTGCTGGGTGACAGCTCTGTGTGTGTACGTGTGTAGGGTTGTGTGTGTGTTGGGGGGCAGCGTCACGAGACCTGATTTGTTAGGGTCTTTTTCCATACAGTAATGAGTAGTGGTAGGCAAATGAAATCTCAGCTGGAACCCAAATGAATCCAGATGCAGAGACTGGACGGACAACTCTATTAGAAATAGGGGTGGGGTGCTGAGCCTGCAGCCCCAGGCACTGGGCCCCGACCCCGCCCTGAAGGCCCCTGCTGGAAGCTGGAGCATGCCCACGGGACCCCCAGGGGCTGGTGCGGCGCATCTCTTCCCAAACCCACACTCAGTGACTTCAGTACATGGGTGGTTTGAAAGTGGCCACGTGGAGGGTATTTACACCATGGAGCCTGGCAAACGTTCCTCTCCTGGAAAAGTCGGTTCTTAAGCACTGACCAGCCCACCACAGCTTCCCTGCATCTCCCCTCTGGGCCCTGCAGGGATCGGTGGAACCCAGTTCCAAAATGCTAGAGCAGCTCTGAAAATATTTATTAAGGGCACCTAGGTGGCTCAGTTGGTTAAGCGTCTGCCTTCGGCTCAGGTCATGATCTGGGGATCCTGGGATCGAGCCCCACATCGGACTCCCTGCTCAGCAGAGTCTGCTTCTCCCTCCCTCTACCCCTCCCCCTGTTTGTGCGCACACACTCTCTCTCTCAAATAAAATCTCTTACTTGTGGGCCATATAAAAACAGGTGGCAAACTCATTTTGGTCCAGGAGCCAGAGTTTCCAATCCCCACACTAGAGAGCAAAAGAGGCTTCCGGGCAGCCAGGACCGCGTGGGCATTCTACTCTCCCAGAGATGTCTGGTCAATATGCAACCCCAAGGATGGCCAGTGAATGGCAATGCATGGGCTTCATTCCCCACCTGTGTCCATGACAGCCATCACGAATCTGTCACAGTCCTCCTTGCCACCACGCAGGAGCATGACCTCAAAATGCTGTCACAGCTCAGACCCCCACTAGTCGAGATCAGACTTGGCAGGTTAAGATATAACCCATCTTCCATTATGGCTCCAGGACAAAACAGGCTGGGAAGGAGGGAAAAAGGCACAGAGCTACCTCACAACAGTAAAGCTAGTGATTTAGCCAACTCTGAGCACTTACATCCAAAGTTGAAATTTGGAAAGGCAACTAGATGCTGGAATTTTGGGAAGGGGTGCCCAGGGAAGGAAGGGCGAGCAGGTCTGTCCCCAGCATGACAGAACTGAAAGCCCTGACTCCAGACCACATCCTCTTAACTTCTCTGCAAAATTTACTACCTCTTAAAAGTTGCAAAGGAGTGCAGATCCCCTCCATGCCTTTGAAGATACCCTTTGCTCTGCCTGGAATCCTTAATTCCCTCTTTTTTCACTTGGCAGGCTCCTACTTATCCCGCAAGACCCAGTTTAATGTCACATTCCCCTTGGAACCTTCCCAACTCTCCCACTCAAGATTAACCACTACCTTCACATTTCATGCTCGTTCGGCTATCTCTCTCTTATTGGCCTGGGGTCCTTCAGAGGGCAGAAGCTGTGTTTGATCCATCTTGATAGCCCCTGACCCTATCCCAGTGACTAGCGTGTCATAGACACTCGATAAATGAATTCATGCATCTGGGTGGCCCAAGGCACAATGAAAGTGCTTCTAGGAGGGAAAGCTGTTTCTCCCACGAACTTTGCCTGGCTCCACAGTTTTAGGGAGACTCACTGTACAGCCTCTCATCACTGCCTGTGCTATATGGGCAGTGGTTTGTTGGTTGATTGAGAATCTGCCATGGGCCAGGAGCCAGTGGGTCCTCAAAGCTGGGAATGAAGAACACAGAATCAAAGCCAGAGCTGGAGCTAGCAGGAAGGAGCCGATGAACGGACCAGGGTGGCCCCATGGGGATATTCAGGCTTAAGACCTACATTTAGGTCCGCAGCATCATGTGGATGCTGTTTGGTGTGTTGCCAAAGGCCAAGAGGCACAAGCCCAGGGATAGCCTGCTCGGTAGCAGAGAAATATGGCTGGGTGCACCGCTAAACCACACCTCCCAGTCTCCTCTGCGGTTAGGTAGGCCATGTGACTCCATTCTGGCCAATCAAGACTGGGCAGTGGGCCAAGGTGATGACCTCACTTGCAGGTCCATGCCTTAAGCATTTCCCCCACAAGCCTCTGCATTCCCACTTTGCCCACTTGCTGGCTGAACAAGTGGGGAGAGTGGCCAGCCTCTGAGGACCTGGAGGGAGGGAGAGCAACCATATGGTAGGGGCCCGAGATCCTGAGTTGGTGTGTAGAGGGGACCTACCCAGGAAAGCCACTCAATCAGGAACGTGCCCATGGGCTGGTGTGAGCAAGAAATACACCCTGACCATGGGAAGCCATTACAATGTCGGGCTGCATGTCACAGTTAGCCTGGACTAAGAGAGAAACCTCTTGGTACTATCAGAGTCTCCAGTCCCATCCCTCGGTCCTCACCCAAGTCAGCAGCAAGATATTCGAGAAACAGCCATAGCTGCTCAGGACAGCTCCCCTCCATCCCCCCGACCCAGTGCAGATGCTTCACTCACCAATGATGCCAAAGGAGAAAAGTGTCAGCTGCTTCCCTAGCTTGTCCATGCTTTTTTGTAGTGGGGTTTTAGGCGTCTGAAAGGATGAGAACAATGGGTTTGTGAGAGGAGATCCCAGTAGCGCCCCTCAGCTTCCGCCTGGCTTCTTTATACCTTGAGCGGAGTGACAATTCCACAGGCGGGCACATATATACAAACTCACTGACCTCTACACTTGAGAGCTGTGCATGTGAGCGTCTGTAAATTATATCTTGACAACAAAATCCTAATAAATGTTGTTCAATAAAAATAAATTTTTAAAAGCGTGAAAAGCATGAACTCGTATTACCCACATCATCCTCGCTCCCCAGGAGCGGGCAGGGCTGGTGTAGGTAGCTGAGAGGAATCTCAAACCCCAGACTACCGAAAAACCAAAGCCACCACTGGCCCTTACCTCTTCAGCCTGCATCATCTTGAACACTTCTCCGAACTGGGACCTTTCCCCTGTTCCAATCACGACTCCCTGTGTTCAGGAGAGAGGAGCGTGAGGTCTGAAGCTGGAAGCCCGCTGGTGAGGGCAGCCAAGGTCCCTGGGGCTTACCTGCCCCTTCCCACACTGCACCAGGGTCCCCATGAAGACAATGTTGCTCAGAGTGGTGAGGTCCCCTCCACCCGTCAGCGGGCTGTCCGTCTTACTGCATGGCTCGGCTTCTCCTGTGAAGCTGGACTCGTCCACCAGGAGGTCCGTGACCTAGAACAGGAAGAGACGATGGACTCTGCCCCTTCACCCTGAGAACGGATTTTAAAAGCACAGAATGGACCACACTTCCCCTGTAAAACTCCTCAACTGGGAAAAGTCTCCTGTGCATAAGAGATCGTGCCCCTGACTGCCAAGAATGAAGTCTGACCATTGGGCATCTATATAATAGGCATGCATCTCTAAGCAGAAAACATCCCTCTGCTAGGACCTAGAGTTGGGCTGTAAATGATTTTTTCACTGGGTTATCTGTACTGACCTGGCAGGATATTCAAATAAGTCTTTCCTGAACAAACTCCTAAGACTGTGTTGGCAGGGGGAAAAAATTAGATTCTTGGGGACCATCCCTGATACTCAGGGTCATTTCTAAAATCACAAACGAGAAGCTCCTGAGTTTGATATAGAATTCAGGAACTTCAGACATTTATCGTAGGTGCATTAAAGAAAGCTTGTGTCTATGTTTACATTTGAACATGATCTTTAGGTTCTGAGAAATCACTGTCATTTTGCCAATTTATCAAAATGACTGGTCTGGCATTGACCGTGTCGAACAGAGGGGTGGCCTGGGAGATGCCTTTGGAGAGCAGCTGGGACTGCTGGTACCCAGCACAGAGTGCTTGCCTTTCCCGAACAGGTGTCTTCAGAGACACTGGCTCTGATGTCTGGTTTGGAAAGTGAGCCAGATTGCCCTCCTCAACCTCAGCCATAAAGTTATGGCTGTTTTCATGAGGATGTTCTGCCACTAGGTAATCCAAATCACATTTTACAACGTAACAAAGTTTTGTTTTTCTTTTTTTAAATGTTGCCACAATTAAAAAAAAAAAAAAAGCAACCAGGAAAACATAGGACAGTATCTGGCCCCATCATGCCATTTACCAACAGATAGCAAAGAACACATCGAAATCAGGGAACCAGGATCAGAACATGGCCTCAGATGCCTCGAGGAACTGAACAAGCTTTGAATGTGTAGCCCCTCTTGAAAAACATGTCTCATACCTTCTGTAACATTAGTTAACATTTTAATGTAATGTGTAAAGTTAGAAAAAACTTAGGCAATGGTTAATTTAGAATATACCTTTCAAAGCATCTGTGCCTTTCTCCGGACATTCCACGTCCTGCCCACCTCAGAGACCCCCACACAATTCATGTGCTTTGAGCATCACTGAACCAGGTCATTCAGTGACAGCCTAAGGTTACATTAACACCAGAAACCACACACAGGGGCGCCTGGGTGGCTCAGTCGTTGAGCGTCTGCCTTCGGCTCAGGTCATGATCCCAGGGTCCTGGGATCGAGCCCCGCATCGGGCTCCCTGCTCGGCGGGAGGCCTGCTTCTCCCTCTCCCACTCCCCCTGCTTGTGTTCCTGCTCTTGTTACCTCTCTCTCTCTGTCAAATAAATAAAATCTTAAAAAAAAAAAAAAGAAACCACACATAGGCACAGCACACACACACACCAGGAAAGGAGGAGGGAGGTGCTCCCATTTCCAGAACTCCTATGATGTGCTAGGCCTTACACCAAGCACTTCACAAGGCCTCTTAGTCTCCACACCCTCCAAGAAAGATGCTATTGGTTTCTCCGTTTTACAAATGGGGAAACTGAGGCATGAAGAGTTTAAATAACTTGTTCCAGGTTATACAGCTACTTCATGTCACAGCAGAAGTGTGAACTAAGGCTCTGGTTCCAGAAACTGCACTCTTAACCATCTTGCAAAACTAACACAGACCCAGTAGGTATCACTCAAGAGGTGAGTCCCCTGTAACCAGAACTGTGCCAGATACTATGGAGGACATAGAAGGGGTCCAGGGTGATTTCTGCCCCTCAGGACCTTGCCATTTCAGCAAAGACGACCAACTTAGAAAAGCCCTCTTCCTACAAACTCCCAAGAGAACAGTTAGATCGGCACTATTCAAATAGGGGCTGGTGAGTTCTCTATACTTGCAAATTTTAAAAATTCATAACCCCCTTTTATAAATATGCACACTGCCCTGGGATCCCAGGCCCCAAGGATGACAAGGGCTACTCCTTGAATGTATAATAACCATGTCCCCCTTCCTAACAGAACCCCCACTGGGAATGGTATCGGGGGTTGGGGGTGGCCATGTGGCCCTCCTCCCACACAGTATTACTTCCCAGCCTCCCTTGCAACTCACAATGTCTCTACCTTCTGGACAATGGGATTCAAGAAATCACCAACAGTCCTGGGTAGGATCTGGGAAGGTGGCTGAGCTGACAGGCCCTCTTCACCCTTCTAGCTTCCTCCTTCTCCCTACCTGGGCCTTCATTATAGTAGCTCCAGAAGCCATAGTACAAGCATGGGAAGGCAGAATGAATGAGGGGGCTGGGAGAAGCCCTGGCTCTTTATTCCATGCTGGAGCCACCATATCGGCTCTGGACACTCCAATTCCAGTCTCTCATTATTCGAGAGAGGAGTAAATCCCTGACCCACTGAAGCCTATATATTTCTCTTAACTCTATTAACCACAAAGACAACCACCAGCTGATCTAGAGTTTGTGTTTTTTTAATCTCCAGGACATCAAGGGCAAGTCAAAGGACTTCCTGGAGTAGCTCCTAACACAATGAAGGAAGAAATGGGGAGATGGAGTCATCCAGCACCCCTGGCTGCCGACACCACAGACTGCAGGAAGCAGAAATCAGCAAATCCCCATGGAAAGCAGGGATCTGGTTTCCAGAAAACACTGTTTAACTGTCTAACTGACATGTGATAATTTGAATAAATTGTACTTACTTGGAAAATTTGGCTTAGGTTTACAGTTGCATAAAGTTTGAAACACATGGAATCTGTACCTAAATTTATGTTTGTTCACATTAAGTAACCCTGTAACAAAAACAATAAGTCAATAGTGGGAAGGGATCCCCTCTATTGACTGAATCTGGGAGATGTAATTATTATAATCTGATGTTCTTGTCAGGTCTGATCTGCAGCAGAAGGCTTCGGAATGGGGAACAGGAGGGTAGAGCATCTGGGTTGGGGGGATGATCTGGAAGAGGAGAGTGCCTGGGGAATCGGGGACTTGAGATGGGTCTTGAAGGATGACCAGACATTTGGTGAGTGAATCAGGCAGGGAAGGAAAAGAAGGCAAGGTGGGGGACTGACGATGCCTGAACTTGGTAATAACACGCTTAGTCAAAGCAACTGAGAGGAGGGGGAGGCCAAGAAAAGACCTCTCTTATCCCAGTACCCCACCAGCATTAACAGGACAGTGACCCCGTATGCTGAACATGGGCACCAATTCACCCTCTTTGGGGTACAGATTCTGGGGGGTGGGTGCTGTCCCTGGTGCTGAAGCCATGGCGGGATGGAGAGCTGTCCTGCCCTTGAGCAGTACTGAATGGAGTGGGCACAGGCAAGAAGACAGGTTTGGTCCACATGGAGCAGAGCACTTGTGGAACGTGTGGTTGAACTCAACTGCATCTGGCATTGCTTAAGAAATTTGGATAGTGGGGCGCCTGGGTGGCTCAGTCATTGATCTTCTGCCTTCAGCTCAGGTCATGATCTCAGGGTCCTGGGATCGAGCCCCGCATGGGGCTCTCTGCTCAGCGGGAAGCCTGCATCTCCCTCTCCCACTCCCCCTGCCTGTGTTCCCTCTCTTGCTGTGTCTCTCTCTGTCAAATACATAAATCTTTAAAAAAAAAAAAAAAAGAAATTTGGATAGTACCTTATAAGTAATGAGGAACCAGGAAAAGTCTTGAGCAGAGAAGAGAGGTGAATGAAATCACAAAATCATGTTAGATGTTGGAAGAGGCTATAATGGGATGGGAAGCCTACAATCCAAGAAATACAGGTCAAGCGCAACAGAGGAAGGCTCTCGATGAAGGGTGGTGGTGGGCGTGGGCAGAAGAGCCAGCCAGGAGGAACAAGAGAATTGGCAGTAACTGGAACTAAGTAGGCATGTGGAAATAGGCAGAGGTCAGTAAGACTCAGAGTTTATTCTGGTCTACAGAACATCTTTCAATTAAGCATATTTAATCCTGAATATATTTCATTAAAGCCCATTTGGGATGGGCAGGAATCTTAGAGGTTGAGACTCAGTCAACACCTCAACCTTCCAAACCAAGACATGAGCTTTAACCCTTCCTCAGGTTTATTTGTTCTTTTTTAAAATTCCAACACCTTGATTTTTCTTTTCCCCACCCAGTGACACGATTTTCCTTCTGACCTCCAGAACTGTAGGAGAATATACCTGTGCTTACACCACTCTGTATGTAGTCATTTGTTACAAGAGCCATAGGAAACAGAGACGGGGGGAACCCAGCAGGAGAGACAGGGAGCTGGAAAAAGTCAGAAAGAACAGCTGATCGCAGCAGGAAAGCACACAATGTGGGTTGTGACAGATGGGGTTCTGCAGCCCCCAGACCTGAACTCAAAACCTCCTCCCTCACTTACTGCTGCATGACCTCAGGTCGGCTGCTCAGTCTCTCCAGGCTTCTGTATCCTTGTGCTCAAGTCAGAAAATTGAGTGGTGTTTCCTTAAGGTTGTTGGGAGATGGAGGGAGGCAGTTTCTACCCAGCGGTTAGCACAGACCTGACTTCATATATATATACATATACATATATATATACATATATATACATATACATATATATATACATATACATATATATATATGCATGCATTAGTTCTCTCCAGAAGAGAGAAACAGGGAGGCAGGGAGTAAGGGTGAGTGTCTGGACCAAGAAGGAACAAAGCTGGTTGTGTGCGTGTGTGTGTTTGTGTGCGTGCTTGTGTGTAGTTTCTGGTGACCTCCCAGGCACCATGTCAGCTGAGGGGGTGAGTGGCTGAAAACAGTCAAAGCACAGAACCCACATGATACCAGAGGTCACCCAGAGGAGGTTGCACCTGAAGACAACTGAGGGCTCTGGTCACTTCCTGCTCATCTGTGGGCAAGCCTCCTCCTGTCCCTCACACCCAGTCAGCCTCCCACCTCGGACACAAAGCGTTACTTGGAGCCCTGACAGATCCCATTCAATACCCTTTTCATGCCAGAAATGGGAGAGGAAAAAGAAGGAGCCGTGTCCCTGCTCTACTGGCTGGCCCAGGTTAGCCTTCCCCCTAGACCTTGACCTTGGTTAACTGTGGGAAGAGAAAATGTTTTGTGACCCCCTCCCCACAGGATGCAAAGAGTGCTAGTACTTGGTGACTTATTTTAAGAACGTTCTTGAACCTGCTGTTTCCTGGACTTAAATAGCTTTACACTACATATAAAGCTCTCCTGGAGCTCAGAATTTAATAGCTGACACAAATGTCCCACTGTGAATAAACAAAGCTATTGATTGTTCAATGGAGTTGCAAAGTGCCAAAAGGGAAATCTGTAGTGTTTGTGCCCGGTGGCAAGGAAGAAAGCATTCTGTGCTGTCCATAGCATTTAACAGAATAGAACAGAATTTAGCATAAGCAAGTCAGGAAGAAAACTCGTTGAAACTGAGAGTTACCTGGGGGTTAAAAGCTGTTTCGGGGACTGCTGAGGAGGCAGGGAAGAGAGCACAGTGAAGCAAGCCACGTCACCGGGCTGAGCTTGTTGCAGGTCTTATCTCCTCAAGGTGGAACGAAGCCTATCCCCTTTCATAGATGAGGAAACCAAGGCCCAGAGCGGCCAATCCTTCCCCAAAGTCATATACCGGGAGGTGCAGGGCAGGGGTGTGAAACCCAGGGCCCCCTGATTTCCAACACATGCCCGTCACTCACCCGTGTCAGGCGCTGCGTGGAGCACTCTCCATCTATGATGTCATGTAATGCTAAGTCACCCTACAGCACCGTCATTGCCCATCTTACAAATGGGGAAACCGGGGCACACACAGGTTAAGTAACTTGCTCCAAGTCACCCAGCTTGTGAATGACAGGCCCTCGGTTCAAACTCAGGCCAACAATCCTAGAGTTCCTGAAAACACATCCTCTGGAAAGAAATACTTCGGGGAGATAACCTGCCTAATCCTTTATCACTGAGAATTTTCAACAACTCTTTAGTATTCTTGGAAGGATTCATAAAATAGATTACCCCATCAACAGATCCCTCTGACCTGGACTTAACCTTTTCTCGGGAACCCACGATTATCTCCGAGAGCCTCAGGGATTGTCCTGTAAGCCAGTGACACCTGGACACCCACAAAGGTCAGGGAAACAGCTTGCCCCCCCCAACCCCGCCTGATGTCCCCAAACTACACCACTGTAAAAGCTTGGGCTACGAGTTACGTCTTCATCGGTCTGCTTCCCTCCTCGTCATTCAGCAATCTGGTATCTCCTCTTTCTGACATCAGAGTAGCTGTTTCTAGAAGCAACTCTTGCCTCATTTCTCAGCCCGAGCCTGGCTTAATTTGCTCCTGCAGCCTGCTGTAAACCAGAAACTCACGTCACCAAACTTTGTTATTAGGCTTTTACTGAAAATGGGAATAAATATTTTATGAAATACAACTTGAGGGGCTTTGTGTTTACAATGACCTTGCTTGCTAACTTCATGCCTTGTGTGTCAGCACACGTGTGTGTGTGTGCGTGCGTGTAACAGAGAATGCCTGCCTCCGACAAGCTAAGCGTCTGCATATCGCCCAGACCAGGGTTCGGGACCCCTCACCTCAGTGAGACGGATGTCTGCAGGGATCCGGTCTCCGATCGAAAGAGACACAATGTCTCCGGGAACCAGGTCTCGTGCAAGCAGATGCTGGAGCTTTCCTTCTCTTATGCTGCATTTGAAATGGGAAAAAGCAAAAGCACGCTGATCACATCCCATTTTTGCACATTTTAATAAACCTGAGCAAAGAATAGAGAATCACACTTTCTCTTTCAGTTATGGACAAACCCTTGTGCCTTTATGGTTTTATTATATTTTAAATTCACATACCCTGAAAGACTTTTGGAAAATTGTGTGGCTTCTGGGAGACCCCGGGCCTCATCTGAAACGTGGGGCGACTACTACTGTTTACCCTGCCTGGAAACAAGGTGGAGCCTCATGGCTTCCAGAAGCTTCTGTAGGTGTAGGTCTGCAGCTCTAAAGCTTCCTAATGGACTCAGCAGCTGGCAGCGCTTCTGTCCTCAGAGAAGACAGCACTCTGGCAATGGAGAGCTGAGTAGCATGGAAGAGCCTCATCAGAGCCGGGGTTGGGGGGGAGCATCGTAAGTACCGGAGGAGCCTAGGACCTCCTTCCCCATCGGGCCACGACCCCTCCTCCCAGCTGTGCCGGGGACAATGCACGTGCTTCTATGCACAGGCTCCAGTTACAGCCCCCCCTCCTCGGACGCCGCAGCCGCAGCTGGACTCCTGCCCTACCCCTGGCCCTCTTCGATTCGCCCCTACCCAGTGGCCAGAGAGCTCTGAAAATGCAAAAATCAGGTCACAACTCTCTCCTGCTCCAAACCTCCAATGGCTTTCAGTGACCTTGGACTCAAACCCAAAAGCCCTGCTAAGGCCCCCTTGACCGGGACCTGCCTCCTCCCCCGTTCCTGGTGCTCCCCATCAGGCCATCCAGCCTTCGAACACACCCAGCTCTTTCTAGTCTCAAGGTCTCGGCCAACCCTGGACGTTGAAGAGGACATTCCCCTCTTCTTTGTTAACAGGACTGACTCTTGTTCAGACATCCACCCTTTCGTCCAGAGCCGTCTGTTCTAGGGAGGGGGTCCTGACCGACTGAGACCATCAGGGTGACCCCATCCCCTTCCCACGATTGGCTTAGGCACAGGCACGTTCCATAACACTGGTTTTTGAGACATGAGTGGACATTTGCTGGGGGCTCGAGAGAAAGGTCTCTTCATTCTGTAGACACACACATACACACGACCCCTTCTTCTGCTGGATCTTTCCATGTCTGCCTCTGATGCCAGGAGCTATGGCAGGGGTCTTGGGAGCACGAGTGGAGCCAGCCAGAGAACAGAGCCAATGAGCCGAGGATGGCACGGTGAAGAAATCAAAGGACTCAGTCCTCGGAGCCTTCTCAAACCAACCACACTGGCCCTCCCACCTCACATCCCTTGCCATGAGATGACATGATTTCTCTGGTTTGTGCGGCTGAGCTGTCCGTGTAGCCAGGAGCACCCATCAGAGATTCACCTGCTGTTCTCTCAGCTCTTCCCCTGGCTGGCTCCGGCTGTTCCTCTGGTCTCAACCTAAATGTCAGTTCCTCCCCAAACGTCAGATCAGGGCAGCCTGAGCAGCAGCTCTTCGGAGCCATTCCCACTCTTCTACCGCGTGCTATGGCATCTCTGGGAGGTTTTTCTGTGGCTCCAGCTCTGGGACCCCATTTTGGCTTTAATGCACCTGCCACAGTCCAAAGTCAACTTGCTCCTTCAGTTTATTATCTGCCTCCCCTGGGAGGAGTGTGAGTGCTCTGAAGGCCAAGCCCTCGTCTCCTGGCTCACCCGTGTAACCCCGGCACTATTCCTCCTAGCACACAGTAGGTGCTCACTAAAGATGCACTGAGTGCACAGAGGATGGAGGGAACCCAAGAGAGACCTGCGTGGCAGGTGTTTCTTCTGGCTCGTACAACAGGCCTCAGATGCCGAGGCGGAGGCTGCTCATCTTCGGTGCCCTACCCACCTGCCTGCCACCGCTGTCCTTGAACAGAAAATCATCTTTTAGAAGTGACTTCCGGGAACATCAATAATGCATACTATTCACCTGAAAGGCCAAGACTTGATATTTAAACTTAAGATCAGATCCTCAAATCACATAAATCATTTACATTTGTTTGTTTGTATGATGTCACACATCCCACATCTGGATTTCTGACAGCCCTGTTCGTCTACTTATTAAGCCCAGACATTTTTAGTGTCCCCAGTGAACCTTCTAGAATTGACTCACCTTCTCTCATGCTTCCACATCATCCTTTTTGTCTCTGTTATTCATTATTCTCTTCCTTGTATTACACACACACACACACACACACGCCCCTCACTTGCTGGCTCCTTGAGAGGTAGAACTCATCCCACTAGATCTTTCTATCCCCAGCCGTGGGGTGCAGTTGTGCCATTTATATCCAAATATATGTGAAGGTTCTTCCCCAAACATCACCTTTCAGGAAACAGTTACCATATGTTTAAACCCTTCCGAAGCCCCTGGGGTCGTGAGATATTTTCAGTTACTGTCTTTTGAACAACATGTGCAGATCTAGGAAAGACACGCAGCCCCCAACCTCAGCAGAGCTGGTCAGCGGAGGGGGCGCAGACCTGGACCTTTTCTGAAATCAGTCCACTTCTACAAGGAGAGTAAGCATGTGGATTACTGGCGTACTAGAAATTACATGGAGAAAAAGCCAGGTGCCAAACCCTTTCTCCTCCGTGTGGGGGGCCGCAGCCGCTGCTCTAAGCCTCCGCTGTGCAGGACTGCAGCCCCGAGCCCCCACCAGCCAGTTACGCTAAGGGAGATGAAGAACTCACTTCCCCCGTCACCCCAGCCACACCCGGGTCCTCAGGGGTCATATGTGAGCAATGGTGCCGCACTGGACAGCGCGGGTTACAGAACATCCCAGCAAGTTCTAGCGCACAGCACTGTGGTTTGGTCCTTCCTTTCTCCTTTGAGGGCTCTGTGATGGGTAACAGGAGGCCCCGTGGAAATGACCAGGCAGGAAAGAGGCTGGTGGGGCTGCAGGGCACGTGGCCGGCTGGCGGTCACCCTTGTGCCATCTCGCCCCGCAGTCCAGCGGCCTGAAGCCTCGGCCCGTTCCAGCCCTGCATCACCAGCTCCTCTCATTCCCTCTTGGAGAATTTAATGCAACTTCTGAATGCTCTCTGCAGGAAAAATGGGCACAGCTTTGCCCACCATACCGCCCTCTTCCCCAAGCCATTCCCGCCGGCTGTGGCCCCAGCCCAGGCACCTTGATTAGACCCTGATGAGAGACTCGAGGCCCGGAGAGGTAGAATGACATGCCCAAGGACACACAGTAATCTGTTGGCAGGGCAGGTGCCAGGTCTCCCGACCCCCAGACAGACATGGTCCTCTTCCATCACGCTACAAGTGACAGAAACTTTGCCCAACTTTTGCCAAACTCACCAGCCCACCGACTCCTCCGATGAATCAGAAAGTTCCAGGGAAACTCTGACTTACCAGTTACATTCGGGAGGAACCAGCTTGCTTAGCTCTTCTAGTGATTTCTCCGACCTGTATTCCTGGCAGGCAGCACATGGAACATGATAATCAAGGGTGGGAACTCCACACTGCCACACCATGGTTACCCTGACCACGACCACAGGAACTAATTACACACCTGGATGAAGGCGACAGTGACCACGATCAGCACGGCCTAGGGAACAAACGGGGAGGGTGGCGTGAGCACCCAGCTGTCGGGTGAGTGAGTGAATGAGTCCATGGAAGGTGGGACACAGCACCTCCCCTTTCCAAATAAATTTCCTTTCTTCTTGCAAACCAAGCACAAAGAAATTTATAAAACAGATGAGCCGCTTCCCCCTGCCCCGAAAAAGAACAGAAAAATCATCCCAAATTCTGGCATCCAAAGGTTCACATTTTAGGGTACCCTTTTAGATTTTTCCACATAGACATACAACACAGGATCCTATGATACAGACACATTCTTTTATAAACAGCCTTTTCACACAACATATTATAAATATTGTTCCACGATATCAGAAGATATGGACGAAGCTTCAGCCTTTTAAACAGAGGAACAAATACTATTGCTTGGAAGGAGCCTGCTTTTGCATTTTAAAAGAGCACATGACAGACAGAGGGAAGCAGGAAGGACAGTCATCAAAAGGTATTCAGTAGGAGCCAGATATAAAAGGTCATATATTGTATGATTCCATTATATAAAATATCCACAGAGGTCATAGAGACAGAGAGCCGACTGGGGTTTGCCAGGGGCTGGGAGGTGGCCTGGGAGGGGTGGGAAGGGGGAATGGGAGGGTTCTGGGAGGGGTGGAGAGGGGAAAGGGGAGGGGTCTGGGGAGGTGGGCTGGGAGGGGTGGGGAGGGGGAAAGGAGGGGTCTGGGGAGGGGGATGGTAGGTAGGGTGGGGGAGGGGGGCTTCCTTTTAGGGCCGTGAAGTATTTTGGAGCTAGCTAGACCTGGTGGTTGCACAGCACTGGGAATGTGCTAATGCCACTGGACTGTATGCTTTAAAATGGTTAATTTTTTAACCATGTGACTTTCACCTAAATTAAAAAAAAAATTCTTTTTAAATAGGTGCTCAGCGGTTACATCCGGGGAAGGGCTTACAAATGATAGCTTTGTGCAGCATGCACAGTGGGGTCATGGAAGAGGACTTCACGGCAGTGTTGTTCCCCAAAGAAAGACACCAGAAGCCCCCCGGGGTATCTACCAAGACAGTGATGGCAAAATGACCCAGGACACCTCCACGGGAGTGGGGGGGGCGGTAAGAGAAGGACGAGGATTTGCTTTCCTTTCTTTCTGCTGTTATTTCCTATTTTTTTCTCTACAGCCACACTCTTTTTCCTTGAATAAAATATGCCAACACTCTGCAAGCCCCTTGGCAGCGGGGTCTGGGAGGCAGCGCAGCCCCCCACCCTCCCCACTCACCATGGCGATACTGACGGCATCCTCATACTCCTTCGTGAGGATGCTCACCAGGGCGGAGGCCAGGAGCAGCAGGATCAAGGGGTTCTTAAACTGCAGAGAGAACACAGGGTGGCGGGGTAAGGGTGCAGGGTTCTCTTCTAGTCCCTCAGCTCTGCGCTCAGGGCCGGGCTTCCAGGCCAGCACTACAGTGACCCGCCCCCTCCAAAGGTTCTCCTCCACCCAAAATCCTCCCCCCCCACTGCAGTTTCACTGACACTGACTTCCTGGGGGTCATCCAACACTGTGCCTGTCCAGACAGCAGCCCTGGCCCTGCCTTGGAGTTCTTGGTCTCCACGACACTGAGCCTGTCACATCTCCACGACACTCCAGGTCCCAGCCCCTCTGGTGGCTTGCCAGCTCTGGTCCAGCATGGCCAAGGGGTCCCCTTTGCTACGCCAGGTCCCCAGTGCCATGTGTCCCAATCACACCAACCTGCTCCTGTAACTGCCTCTGGGGGCTCCAGGGGTGTCCCTCCTGAGAACAGGTGCCACAGAAACTTCCCAAGAGGATTTTTACTTTATTGCCTTATGTATCTACTCCCTCGTTTCACAGATCTATTACATAGTAGCTCATGTTACAGCCCATTGAAAGGAAACATAAAGACAAACTCACAAAAACAGGAAGAGAGAGAGTGGACCAAAGATCAAGATCAAAGTAGGAGTTAAAATACCAATATGCTAGCCCTATTTTTGTGGTGTCAAATGGGGCTGTGCGTTTGGCCTTGAGCTTCCCAGCAGCCAAGGCAAAAAGAGAAACATGATCAGATGTGTGATTCATGCTGCTCATGAAAAGAAGCACATCAGTGTCATACCAGTATGGTGCATGAAGGGATTTAATGCCCCTTACTCCCCACCCCAGACTTGCTGGGCTTCATCTCCTCTGAATGAGGGACAGAACATTTTGGGGTAATGTCACCAGCAGCCCTGAGTTAGCCACAGCATCTATTTTGAATCCTCAAGACTGAACAACTTGACAACATTCTACCTTCTTAGCTACAATCTTTCTAGGATTGTATCAAGAACTTGAAACATGCATCAAAGTTTCTGAGATGGACCTTATTTAATTAGCTACAGGCTTCTCCAGAAGGGTGAAGACTTCCGGATATAAATAAACCATCGGTTAATATTGTGGACTTCGTAAAGCATTCCATGGGCATGAAGTCACAGATTAGAAAAAGGCCTTAGATTAAAACAGCTTCAGGGACACATCACCCAAAAGCCAAAGGTAGGATTTGTTCAGACTTCGCTTCGAACAAAACTGTAAAGCGGTGTCTTTGAGGCCTGTGGGGAAAACGGACTGCGGACTTGGCACGTGAAGTGGACCAGGCCAATGAAGTGATAATGGTACTAGCGGGACAAGAGTATTGTCGTTATGGTCAAAAAAAAAAAAAGGGGGGGGGCAAGAAAAAGGAACACGTCCTCTAATGATAGAGATACATAGGAAAGTACAGATGGCAAAAGGATTTAATATCTTGAATTTGTTTTAAAATACTACAGAGAAAAAGGGAAGGATAAAAGTGGGTCAAATAGATGGATAATTATTGAAGGCAGATAATGGATATGTGGGGGTCTTTATACTATTCTCTCTACTTATGCATAGTTTTGATATTTTCCCTAATGAAAGATTTTTAAAAAGGTTTTGGCCAGTGAAGTCCCAATTTTGGTTCTGAGAGCATCTGACAGTGCTGGACGTGGGTGGGTCTGGGGGAGCTTGCAGAGGGAGGGGCTGCACTCGGAGCTGCCTGGCGGAGCTCACGGCCAAGGCCACACACTCGCCAGTGGAGGTGGACAACCCCTTTCTTCAGAAATCCGGGTAGGATGAAGTCCAAGAGCAGAGGGAAACTCGAGGTCAGGAAAGCCCAGTGGAGGGCTGTCCCATGCAACATCCAGGGCTGCTGTGATAAATGACCACAGCCTGGGGGCTTAAGAGAACGTCGTAGGCAGATTCTCTCACACTTCCGGAGGCCAGAACTCCAAATGAAGGTGTTGGTAGGGCCAGACTCTCTCTGGTGGTTCTGGGAGAGAATCCTTCCTGCAACTTCCAGCCTCTGGTGGTGGCCTGCCATTGTGTTGTTCTTGGCTTGTAGACACACCCCTCCAGTCTCTGCCTCTGTGGTCACATGGCCTTCTCCTCCCTGTGGCCATCTCCATGTATCTCCCCTCTTCTTATCAAGGACACCAGGCATTGGATTTGGGGCTACCCTAATCTGGTAGGACCTCATCTGAACTAGTCACATCTGCAAAGACCTTATTTCCAAATGAGGTGCTATTCGGAATTCCAGGCCAACACGAGTTTGAGGGGGACGCTATTCAACCTAGTACAGAGAGGAAAAACACCTCAGTCCAGCAGAGCTAAGAATAAGATTTCATTTCAGCCCTGAGCCCATCACAGACTTGCCACCCGGTTGGATAGAAGTGAGGTGAGAGATGCACAAACAGGGGCCGAACACCCAGCACGCACCAGGCACCGGGATTCTCCAGGCCACCTTCTGAAGCTCGGTTATCCTCACATGAGCCTGGCCTCCCCTGCCTCAGGGCCTTTGCACTTCCCCCTCTTGCACATCCTTCCTCCAGACCCTCACACAGCTCCCTTCCTCACTTCATTCAGGTCTCTGCTCAAAGACTGGCCCCTCAGGAACCAGTCAAACGGCCCCCCTGAGCATGCAGTCCAAAATAGCTGCCCTGCGATCACTTCCTAGCACCTGTCCTGACTCGTTTCTCCCCACCACACTCACTGGCTGATGCATCACATATGCCCCAAAGCAAAGCTGGTCTGGCTGCCGCTCCCTGCACAGTGCCCAGCCCATGGCCAGGAACATGAAAAGCACTGACCTAGAACGAATGAGTCCATGAAACAGCAAGCACCCAGTTTTGGGCGGGGAAACCTGAGGCTTGGTGGGGTGAGAGCTCCTACTCAAGGTCACCTAGCAGAGCAGAGATCAGCACAGGTTCAAGTCCTCCTGCGCAGGTCACTTCCATAATATGCCACCTGGCTCCCTGCCCTCCCCTCCCTCCAGGCTACACCCAGCCAGGACTCTGGGAGCAGCAGGTCTATTTCTGGACAACAGGCCCCTCCAGCCATGGGCTCAGGGCTAGCTCAGGGGTGTGCAGTCCTGGCCGGGGCCACTCTGAGTGCTGGGACCGGTGCTGGTCTCTAGCCAGGCCTGGATCAAGTGCCACCTTGAACCCCGATTCCAATCCCATAGGCTCAGCCCTTGCCTGCGCTGGACCTGGACAGTCCTTCAACACTGACATCACCAGGTGCCCTCCTTCCCCATCTTCAGACCATCCCAAGGACCTGCCCAGTCTCATCCAACACAAGCGAGTCACCAGGAGACCCAGCAAACAGATGCCAGACCCAACGGGAAGGTCCCACCACATGCCACTAGGGCTGCTCTGGCCATGGATGGCTAGACTCTTCCTGGCTTGGGGCCCTTCTAAGCCCACACATAAAGGGAGTCAGGCAGAAAGGTGGTCTGCTACAGTTAACAATAAAGCCAACCGACATTTTACTGAGCGCCTCCCATGTGCCCTGCTCTATGCTAAATGCTTCACCTGTACCATTTCTTAGCCTCTTCCTAACCCGATGACACAGGTACTGTTCAGTATCCCTGCTTGAAAAACGAGCAACCTGAGGCTCTGAAAGAAACTGAACTGTCCAAGGATTCATGTAGGTTAGCCCGATCCAAAACCTGTGTTCTTAACTGCTACACTTCAATTAGGGCCAACTGGTAGACATGGCATGGGGGGTACAACATTTATTAAGTCCTTAACATGTGCTAAGCTGTCCTTTTCTCATGTAAAACTCAGAACAGTGGGTATTAGACCCATTTTCTAGACAGGGAAAACTGAGGCTCAGGGAGGTTCAATAACTTGCTCAAAGTCACAAGGCTAGAAACTGGGATTTGAACCCTAATCTACCTCTGCCTTATGATTCTGGGGCAACATGTCTTGAGTCATGCCAAGGTAGAATTCCTAATGGTGATTCTCTTGAGACAGAGAGGTAGGGCAGCCTTGTGGAGAGCTCCCAGTCACTGGAGGACATGGGCAGGATAATCCTAACACCTGGCACAGAGCAAGTGCTCAGCGAATGTAAAGAACTACTAAGTGAGCACAGACGATTTTCCGTACTCGTTGAGGATGGAAAAACACGGCCATCGGGAGCAGTCTTCCAGTCCTGCGAGGATGCCCACAGACGCATCCCTGACCTGACAAGGCTAAGATGAATAAGCAGGTTCCCTGCTCTAAGAAATTTAAGAGATCTCCCTCCTGGAAAGGCCCTGGCTGGCGTCTGAAGGAGTGTTAACAGGGCAGAGGCAGGAGGGAGGATGGCCGCGGAAACGGGAGAGCGGTCCTGGCGGAAGGGGCAGCCAGAGCAGGACAGACCGAGGCCCGGGGACAGAAGGGAGACTGTCCATCCCCACCGCCCGTGTCAGCTTGCTTCCGTGAACTCCAGCTTCCAGGAGCCGCCGCCGCGTCCTTCCAACCCTGGGGTTCCGGGAAGCTTTCGGGCTGGCTAGAGCCACCTGCGGACCCAGGAGCTGATTTTGGTGCCAAATGCATCAAGGAATCACGTCCCCAGTGTGCAGAGACCTAACCAATGAGTGGCGTGGGGACTGGAGGAGAGTAGAGCTTGAGATGCTGCAAGGAGGGCTGTGATTGGTCCCCCAACCGACCAATCACGAAACTTTAAACGCTGAGCCAATAGGAAGGCTGCTGCAGCCTGGGGCAGCCGGGGAACCGCAGACTGGAGCGACAAGTGTCAGGGATGGGAGGGAGTTCAGGAGACCAGGAGGGGAAACCGAGGCAGTCTGAATGCCTTCGGGTATCTGGGGTAGTCAGCCTGTTAACTGGGGTTTCTGAATGGACACTGGGTAGGTGGTGGGGGTGCTGACTTCTAGACCAGAACTTGCAGCCATGTGTCTTTCAAATTTTTCTTTCCTCCTCCCAGGGGCTTCCAGGCATCCGACTTGTGCCATCCATTCGGCACGGTGCCAGCACCGAGGGCAGAGGCCAAGAAGGGCAGGGGCTCCGGAGCCAGCTGCCTGGCTTTACTCCCTAGCATGCCACTTACTGCCGTGGGACGTTAGGCTCCAGCTGCCAAACAGACTACAGGACAGCCAGTTAAATTTGAATTTCAGATAAACAAGGGACAATTTGTTTGGTATAATTATGTCCCATGCAACATTTGGGACATACTTATATTAAAGTAACTGTATTTATCTGAAATTCAAACTTAACAAGGCATTCTGTATCTTTATTTGCTAAACCTAGCAACCCTACACAGCCTGGGGGAAATATTTCAACTTCTCTGTTCACCCTCCTCATCTCAAAATGACGATTAAGAGGAAGATGAAGTGATGGGGCGCCTGGGTGGCTCAGTCTTTAAGTGTCTGCCTTCAGCTCAGGTCATGATCCCAGGATCCTGGGATTGAGCCCTGCATCTGGCTCCCTGCTCAGTGGGAAGCCTGCTTCTCTCACACACCCCCTGCTTGTGTTCCCTCTCCCGCTGTGTCTCTCTCTGTCAAATAAATAAAATCTTTAAAAAAAAAAAAAAAAGAGGAAGATAAAGTGAGTTAATGCTTACTTATTTACTCACTCAGCATGGTGCCCAGCATGTGAAAAATCCTCTATGAATGTAACAACTATTATTCATGATCGTGGCTGCCTGGGTAGTTTCAGATCTACTCATGGCCATCTCTCCTGCTGGCTAAAACCAGCCTGAATGAGCAGGGAGCCTTCTTCATCTTTGCACCCCTGCACCCCAAGACTGGTCCAAAGACACCCCCAATCAATATTTAAAGAATGAATGACTATCCCACCCTCTCTGGCTTTTACAAGTTAATGCAAGGAATGACACCTACCTGATCAAGATATTTCTTCCACACGGGTTCCGTGTTATCAGCGACAAATTCATTCCAGCCATGGACCTGTCTCCGTTGTGACACTGAGAACTCAGACAGCCCATTTTCTAAGTCCACCTGGAATGACACGGTTAAGCACGGGCTCACTGATGGGCCCTGAGTGGCCAGGGAGCCCACCTCACAGAAGTCCCACTTCAGAAGCCAGTCGCGTCCAAAATGGACCAGGAAATTGGATTGTCCACAATGGAGAAGGAACTTGTTCAAAGACCCCGAGCAAATAGGAACAGAGAGAGAAGGAACACCCACAGGCCAGTTCTTTCTCACTTTCCTGCACTTCTGCCCTATAATTACAGCAGAAAAGACAAACTTAAGCCTAAATTTCAATGAGATTGTAGCAGGGAGAATTCAATGGGATTGTATGGGGGGATTCCAGAAATACAGAAATGCTTATATTTTCTTCTTTAAAAAAAAAAACGAACAGGTCTTGGGAACCTGAAAAGCTGCAGCTGCTATACATCATGGTATGGGGATTCCTCAAAAAATTAAAAATAGGATCCCCACACGATGCAGCAGTTACCCTTCTTGGCGAAGAGATACCAAAAGAGGTGGGTCTCAAAGGGATGTGTGTACACCCGTGTTCAAAGCACTGCTATTCTTTTTTTTTCCCCCAAAGATTTTTATCTGTTTATTTGAGAGAGAGAGTATGAGTGGGGGGAGGAACAAAGGGGGAGGGAAAAGGAGGGGGTAAGAATCTCAAGCAGATTCCCTGCTGAGCGTGGAGGTGGATGACACAGGGTTCCATCCCATGACCCTGAGATAATGACCTGAGCTGAAACCGAGAGTCAAGTCAGAGGCTTAACCAACTGAGCCACCAGGCGCCCCTAGCAGTGCTATTCTCAATAGCCAAGAGGTGGGAACAGCCCAGGGGCCCAGTGGTGGCTGAGTATACCAGTCAGGAAAAGGCAGACTATATGATCCCACTTACATGAGGTGGTGCGAGTAGTCAGATTCCCAGAGGTGAAGAGGAGGAGGTGGGTGCCAGGGGCTGCATGGTGTGCAGCGGGGAGTTACTGTTTCATGCAGACAGAACCTCAGTTTTGCAAGATGCAAAGAGTTCTGGAGGCTGGCTGCACAAAATGGGCTCAATACTCCTGAACTGTACATCAACAATGCTTAAGACGGCAAATTTTACATTGTGCATTTTACCATAATTAAAAATTAAAAAGAAAACAACAGAAAAAAGGCCCCTCCATAGGAACAATAGCTAAAATTATTATATCGTATATACACTGTACCAGATACAATTTCAAGTCCTTTACACAAACTAACATTAAATCGATAATTATGTAAGGCAACCTTGTTGTTCTGGTTGCAGCAAAGGTATCCTTGTTTTTAAAAAGTCGGCCACAAGAAAGTTGTACGGGGTGAAAGAGGTGACAGAGAAAGCTGAACTGATTTCTAGATTCATTTCAAGAGAGAAAGAAAACCAAACTTGTTTGCTGAACAGGGAAGACATCTAGGTGAGGCAAGACTATTTCCTTCCCTTAATACTAACAAGGAGGACTTGAATTTAAACAGATGTTTGAATTATTCTCAAGAAAACGCTGGCATGATGGGACACCTGGGTGGCTCAATCAGTTAAGTGTCTGACTCTTGCTTTTGGCTCAGGTCATGATCTCAGGGTTGTGGGATCGAGCCCCACGTCAGGCTCTGTGCTGGGTATGGAGCCTGCTTGGGACTCTCTTTCTCTCCCTCTGCAGCCCCCCACCCCAACTCTCTCTCTCCAAAAAAGAAAGAGGGAGAGAGGGAAGGAGGGAGGGAGGGAGGGAGGGAGGAAGGAAGGAAAAAAGGCTGGCATGAAACATGGATTTCTAATTGTCTTGAGAGTGTGGCATATGCCCCTTTATTAGTGGATTTTTATTTGCTTTCCCAAAGTGTGGTGGGTTATGCGTAAATACACACACAGACACACACACACACATCACTATGCTCAGTTTTCTAAGTAAATTAAAAACAGAAGGCAAGCAATATTCTTTAGCCTCAGAGAAGAGCATCATGGAGGGAAGGTGTTGTTTGGTTGGGTGTTTGTGTGTGTGTATGTTTTCTTGCATTGGCCTGGAAGTCAAATTCACTTGAGAAACATGTAAGGGTTTGGTTTCAGTAATTGCAAACACCCTGGATTATAAAGGAGGAAGTGTGTGAACAGGGGGTGATTAAAAGTTTGAACTTTCTTGTCAGACCACCTGGATTCAAGTCTCACTGTGCTCCTTTGGAACCGTGTGGGTTCCCATGTTCTCTGGGTCTCTGAGTAAGAGAAACAAGGATATAGATATTGGGTAGGGTTCCTGTCCTCTGGCAAGGACCCCATGAGGGTTGGTTCCGTTGACAGCAATGATGATGAGAGTCCATGTGGGACATCAAAACAGTTCAACATCAGCAGCATTTTCTAGCAATGATGATAAAAATGTATAATTTGTGTTGCTTTCTTCTGAAGCTAAAAACCTTACCATACTAGCCTCAAAGGCAAATTCAATACTTACATAAAATGCTTTGGCCAAATCTTCTTTGTGGCATTTGCTTGCCTCCTTGGGTGACAGAGCTGCAACTGTTTTCTCTTTTTCGATGGCTTTCAATTCACACTGCCCACCAATCTGTGAAAAAAGCAGGATTGCTGTTAAGTGAATTGTAATTTTGTACTGATATGCTGTTTTCAAAGTATTAACATACACAGAGAAAATGCACATATCTTAAGTACAGCTCAAATTCTCACAAACTGACCCACACAGCCCGCCTCCAAATCAAGAAACAGACATTACCAGCCCCTAGAAGCTACTCGTGCTCTCCTCCCACTGGAGGAAGGGTGACGACTGTCATGGTCTCTGTCACCATAGGTTTGGCCAGGTCTGAACTTCATATATAAAAAGTAACCTGCAATAGCTACTCTCCCATGTCTGCTTCCTTCCACTCAACGGTGTTAGTGAGATTCATGCATGACCTGCACGCAGGGATGGCTGCTAATTTTCATGGCTCTTTAATATTCCACTGACTGAGTCTATCACAATTTATTTATCTGTTCTACTCTTGATGGACCTTTGGGTTGTTTCCAGTTATTGGTTATTACTGATGCATCTATTTTTTTTTTTTAAAGATTGTATTTATTTATTTGACAGAGACACAGCGAGAGAGGGAATACAAGCAGGGGAAGTGAGAGAGGGAGAAGTAGACTCCCCGCTGAGCAGGGAGCCCGATGCGGGGCTCGATCCCAGGACCCTGGGATCATGACCTGAGCCAAAGGCAGACGCTTAATGACTGAGCCACGCAGACGCCCCTCAAGTCAGTGTTTTACTTGGTAAACATGTCTGAGACCATGCATCCCTGGCTGCTAAGCACCATGGCGGACAGGGCTAGAAAGGTAACAGCTTTATTTTGAGCAGGGGGCAGACAAGGCAGCACTTTACAGCTACATTGTAACTAGATCCTGCATCTGATGCATCTATTTTTAAGCAAACTTATTTAACAGACTAGGAATGTACCAAGCTGACAGAGGAGGGCAATAATGAACACATTTAGAATCCTGATTCCTGAACTTGTGGGATCTTGGTCAAGTACGTGCCACATTGTAGAGGAAGCCCCCTGATGATGACAGGTGATATCACAGCCTGTTCTGTGTTTCATCTGCAATAACCCAAGGGAAGGGAGGAACCAGCTGAGTTCTGGGTATCTGGTAGGCCTGGGAAGCAGTCATATGAAATACCTGAAGGGCATGGGAAGACATGATAGCACAGGAGATCTCAATCAGGAAAATGCTAGGTATTTTTGCAAAGTGATTCCTAGTATTCCGATCCCCCAGGACATGATAATCATCTTTTCCTTTTCCAGCAGGTTGTCAGGCACTGGGAAGGAGGAAGGGGAGGGAGTCAGTGGCCAACCTCTTCCTTCAGCTAGAATAGAGATGGCAAATTCCCCTCTTCCTTCTTGCTGGCCCCCCATCCCCAATAGGGTCTCCCAAATGCCTTGTTGCTTAGAAACGCTCTGCCAACCACATCCACTTCCTGGGATTGTTCTCACTTGTGCTGTGACCACAAAGCATGGACACGATTACATTCAACAGGCGCCCCCAACTTTCATGACCTCTCCTTATGTCAGCGTTTAAGAGTAACATGCATCACAAAATGAGACAGAACATTTTTTGTCCTGTTCATAAGCTCTGGTTCCATCACCCCAAATCAGACACTCCATTCTTGTTCACACCACACGTGGACTCAGTCCTGCCCAGCTGGCCATTCCTGGTCTTGCCATTTCTTTCTGGCCATAACCACACCCAATTCATTTTTTATATAGCATCTGAATGACCCTGAAAATCGTAAATCCAGTCCCCACCCCACACACATGCACCATGCTTGAAACATTGGATAGATTCTACTTACTGTCAGGATAAAATCCCCAGTTTTCCATATGGCTGCAGCAGACCCCACCTCATGTCCACCCTCCAGCTAAAACCCCTAACTCTTAGACCCATGAAACACAATGCTGCCTGTTGGAGGAGTCCCGTGTCCCCCAGGAATAGGCTGTTCCAGGGCTCCTGTGGGGGTCCTGGTGGCACATTCATGGTCACGACACTGTTACTTTCAATCAGGGGTTCTCAACCAGAGGCAGCTTTGTCTCCAAGAGACTTTGGCAATGTCTGGAGACCATCACTGGGGGACAGGGGTGCTGCTGACACCTGGTGAGTGGAGGCCAGACAGGCTGCCAAGCATCCTACATGCATCGGGCATGCAAAGAATGACGTGGTATAAAACCTCAGTAGTGCAGAGGGTGAGAAACCCCGTGTTAGACATGGAAAGATTATTCTGTCTTGATGTCTTCCCAGGCCAGATCAGAGCCCACTCTACCCTCTCAGCATCCTGGACCTCTCCCTGATGGAACCTATACAATTGCCAGCAAGAGATTATCACTGAAATGTCGCTATCTGCGGAAAGTGCGGCCACTCTGCAGGGTGGCAACCAGTGCCTGGGACTTGGGGAGTGCTCCACGAGCATTTCTCAGTCATAGCAGAGGACACCAGTCGAAAGGCGCGCACCCTCAGCTCCACTGAATGGATGACTGGATGCATGCTCTCAGCCACAAGCCTCAGTTTACCCTCACCCTAGTGTTGCCCAGGTCACAGCCCAGCTCCACTTGCCAGCACGTCACCTCGGGCAAGTGACAACCTGTCTGATCACAATTCCCTCATCTGCAAAATGGGGATGATGATGCCTCCCTCAGAGTGCTTTTGTAGAATCAAGCAAGCATGGGCACGTGGAGGGCTTGATGCAGTCTAGACCCACCTCCTTTCTGGGCTACACTTTGGAGACGTACGCACTCACTTCTCTCATTCACTACAGTGGAGCTTAGGAAGGAGTTGTCTACACTCGCCTTCCCTACCTTCTGACCTCCCGTCTCCTTCCTAACCCACTTTGGCCAACCCCCTCCTGGGTTCCACGGCTGCTGGGGCATGGTGTGGACCAGAACACCATCAGTCAAGGCTCGCTCTATCTCGCTGTGGGGCTGTCAGTTTCAGAAAGCAGAGCCCTTGGATCCGGGGGTGAGCGCATGCCCCCCGAGCCCCACCTGCGTGCAGGGGACCTCTGCCCAGGATGCTCACATGTGGCTGGCTCACTCCCTCTAGAACACACACTCATCCACGTCCATCTGGTGAGAATCCCAGCACGTGCCCACTGCCACTAGAGTGGCTCACCCTCACTGAGGTCAGGTGCTCTCTCTGGGGGCACCCCTGGTCCTCACTTCCCATCAAACCCGATGGGGGGGCAACTCTCCCTTCTCCTTTATTCTCTCTTTTTTAATTAAGATGAAATTAACATAACATAAAATTAACCATCTTAAAGGGAACAATTCTGTGGCATTTAGTATAGTTCCAATGTTAGGCAGCCACCCCGTCCATCTAAGTTCCAAGACATTTTCATTCCCCCAAAAGGAGAGCTGGGGTGCACGATCGATTGGTCACTCCCCTCCACCTCCCCCAGCCCCTCGCTGCTGCCACCGATCTTCTCTCTGTCTCGAGGGATTTACCTATTCTGCATATTTCATATGAACAGAATCATACAATATGTGATCTTCTGTGACCACTGGGTGATATCCAAAGTTTTGTTTGCCCACGGCAAAGAGACCCACGTGGGCCTGCCAGGGCTGGTGATGATGTGGGGCCTTCCCAACCCCTAAGGAAATGGTCTGGAACCTAAGGACTTAGAGCGTTCTTAGGGTGTTTTCACGAAGCAAAGACGGCTCAGAGCTGACGTTTAACCCAGGAGTGGCTTCCAGAGGAGCCACTAAGGGCAAGTATGACATTCACTTAAAGATGAGTTGGCTGACAGAGTGAGCTGGGAGCTCACTGCGGGGCAGGTGCTCACGTGGCACCTTGCAGGGCAACCAGCCTACGCTGAGCCAGGAGCCAGGCTTTCTCTGCCTTCCTGTCTGGCTCAGGGGATTCAGTTCATTGCAAACACTTACTGAGTTAGACCCCAGTGATTGCTTCCCTGTTTAAAGGGCTTAGACATTGATTTCTTTAAGATATTTGTCCAAAACCTCCCCCGTGCCTCCATTTCTCCCTCTGGAAAGAGGGTTTCAATAGCAGAGACTCATAAGGTTCCGGGGGCTAATAGAAAACTGGACACGGAGCCCCAAGTGCAGCGTCTGGCCCCTGGGAAGCACAAGTGAACAGAAAGAATGGGAGCTTGCACAGGACACACATATACTAAAACATTACTCACTCTTTATCAGAAATGCAAACGCAACTGGGTATCTGTGCAAATCTGGTGACGCTGCGAAGGAACAAGCCGAGAGACACTCATGCCCCAGTTGGCAGTGTTGTGATAGGGACACCTCATTCTAGAAAGGAGACATGCAGGGGTGTGATTCAGAGTGGGGGTGGGGCTCAGGCCTTGAAGAAGGTAGAGGAGTGAGTTCCCTGGGAGGGAAGAGGGGACCAGCTGGGCTCTGGAAGAAAAGGCAGGAAGGTGCCAAGCAGAGCAAATTGTCCATTTGGGGAACCCCAAGTTGCCCTGAAGTAGTGACAGAGTGAGGCTCTGACAGGTTTCAGAGGGAGGGAGGGAGGGAGCCAGAGAGGAAGTCAAGGGCCCAAGGAGCCACACAGCCCTGACTCTTCAAGAATTTCATAATGTGGGTGGATGCAGTCATTGGAATCAAGGCACTTGGGGAGGAACAATGTAAGGGTCACAGTAACCCAAGAACAATCAGGCAGCCAGGGTCATTAAGGAGGTGACATTTGAGAGGAGGAGCAAATGACCCAACTCAATGCAAATTCTTCCTTCTTTCCCAGACTTGTGCAACGGTCTCTCCTACGGCACATGTCTGTGAATTACCCGGTTATGCATTAGCCTGGTGGTTCTCAATGAGTGGTCCTCAGGCCAACATCACCTGAACATGTTAGAAAGGCAGATTCTCAGGCCCTACCCTGGATCTAATGGATCAGAAACTCTGGGCATGGATCCTGCAATCTGTGCTTTAAGAAGCTCTCCGGGGGGGGGCGCCTGGGTGGCTCAGTTGGTTGAGCGACTGCCTTCGGCTCAGGTCATGATCCTGGAGTCCCTCGATCGAGTCCCTGGATCGAGTCCCGCATCGGGCTCCCTGCTCG